GCATCGGGATTTTGAGTGCGCAGTGATACGGAACGCTCGGGTCAATGTGAACAACTGTAAATTATCGCTCAATAATGTACTCGTGACTCTCAAGCAATCAGAACGCTGTATTTCATCTACCCGTATTATAATAATTAATATCTGTGTGTGTGTGAATAACATTTTTTATTTAATTAAAGCTATACTCTGGTTTCTTGTTGTTTTTTCTTACGGATATTTGGAACGTTTTTTTTGTCTCATCTTATGAGGCAGGTTCAGTTAAGAGTTTCTTAACACAAAGCTGCATAACGGTGTCATGAAAAGCCTGATTGCCTCATCCTCACAGTGAACTAAAACACGGTTTATCTCAAAGAGCAATGTAAAATAAATGCTTTCAAACGCACCGTTTGGAACGATAACTCTGTTATTATGTGCATGTGTCATTGTGATTGTGAGGTAAACAGTGGAAATGCAATATTCCCATTACAAAGTAATGCATAAGCAAGGTGTGCGTTGATTCATAGTGTTTCACCCTGCGGCTCAGGCGTACTGCTTCAATTAAAAAGATAAAAAATGATTCAACCAACTGCCGTTTGAACGCGGCTCTGGGATCCTGTAGTGGAGACTCATGCGCTCGGCACCATTTTCTACTGCATTTCTAAATCTGTCTCCCTAATAATCTGTACTTCATACTCTATTTGCATTTATCTCACATTCTTTTCACAAAATCATCGGGAATTCTGTAATTCCAAATATCTCGTGACCAGACAATCTGTCTGTCTGTCCGAAAATGCTTATCGGACGTCGTCCCGTTGCCTTTATTCAACCTCACAGTGATGTATTAGTCTGTAGAGGCTTGAACTGCTGCAAGGTGAATATTCAAGTAAAACATTCTTTTTCCCGTGGTGAACAAGTCCACTCTTGTGGTTTCAATATTTTATACGGAGTCTTTGATCAGTGTTTTTTTGTTTTTGAGGCAAGCTGCAAGGCAATAGAACTGCAGATCATTCTGAAGAGCTGAAAACCTCAAGTCATCGAGAACTATTCTATTGTTCCCCTATTTTAATGTGTTAAATAGCAGTGGTTATTTTTTTATTAGGCTAGTCAGAATCCTCCCACTCATTGTGAATGAACTTTTATTGTACAGGAAAGCGTTGAGAACCTGTTTCTTTGAACCAACCTCACAGTGTTTCCTTTGCACCTTCTGTAAACTGCATGTGGCCAAAGTCACAACCGCTTCTTTGGAGTCCTCTGCTTGGTTGGAAGGGCTTAAAGCATTCATGACACCTCCACCGCGGTTCCTCCGCAGCCTGAACACCGTAGGAGGCGGACTGAATTATTTTCAGCGAGATGCTCTGCGGCTGTATACCCTCGAGGGTTTGTCCGAGTACCTCACTGGCAGTCAAGTAGTGGAGTTCAGTTCAGTGACCTCTGGTGATGCCTGGACTCCAGACACATTGAGGATGTTACAGCAGGGCTCTGAAAAAACGCATCTATGAATATAGCCGCTCTATTTGACTCTGCTGGTTTTATTTGGCTGCCTGGAAAAGAGCTTCCTTCATCATCTTCAATTCTTCTTTGTTTCAAGCTGTATTTATTTTGGCATCATTATTTTGTAATTGTTTGACAAACATGTTTTAAGTTTGATTTGAGTTACTCAATTTTTCAATTTTTTTTTAAAAATGTCAGTCAGTTTTTTGTTGTTGTGGACCTTTGCTATTGTTGCAGTCTAGTTGTCTCTTGCAAAAGCCCTGTTAACTTCTCACAAAAGACTCCTCTCAGTAAATCTAGGCAGGAATTCTAAACTTTCTTGATCAGAACTTCCCTCAGCGTCGTTCCATTACAGCCACCTCTTCTCTCTCTCTCTCTCTCTTTTATTTTGAATAACCCAAAACCACCAATTTGCTTTGGAGAACTCACAACATCCTCCGCACTAAAACCCTCCCATCGGTAAAGATATGACTCCCCCCAATTGCATGTGTTTGAGTTGTGTTAAAGTAGGATTGGTGGTATCAGGATTAGTATTGGTACCGGTATATAAATGTTTGCCAGTGAGCCTCAAACACCTGGTTTGGAGATTTTCTTACGGGCCTTCTCTTCTCATACATCTTACCCTTCTGCCCCTCCGTCCCTTCCATACACACTCCCTCTGTCCCACATACCATTTCAGAATAAAAAAGCAAAGAAAGATTTGCAACTGTAATGCTTTTGACCGGCCCACTCCAATCCTTTCAAATTAAAAGCCCCATGGAGGGAATTGTAAGTGTAATGCCTTTGCGTGGGCCTGCCATTTAATAACCCGCGTGTGTGTCTGTATGTGTGCGCCAATTTGTAGTTCTGTCTCCACTCACCCGAGCCGCAACAGAACTTGTAGAGTCTGCATTCTTTGTGGAAATAGTGCGGATTTGAGAGATAGTTGGAACTTTTCTAGCTTTTTATCCAAAAATGATGCAATGAAGATGTAACACAAAATAGATCGACCTCATGCACTCTAAGCAGCGCAATACACTCAAAAGGTGTGAGAGAAAAGGGTATTACGATGTCTCTGAATGAGTAGAGGGAAAGGGGTGTGTGTGTGTGTGTGTGTGTGTGTGTGTGTGTGTGTGTGTGTGTGTGTGTGTGTGTGTGTGTGTGTGTGTGTGTGTGGAGGTGATTAGAGGTTGACTAATAAAGAAGAAGAATGACTGCTGAATCAGCATTTGAACAAAGGAGATTTGGATAACAATTGTTTAGCAATGTGTCATTACAGCCACAATGAATATGACAAAAAAGATGACTGCTAGTAATAATAAAGCAAGATGCCCCATATCGATTTAGTTGTACTTTCAGGCAGCTAAACCTCTACTGAGTTCAGGAGGTCAGCGACTATCTCATGACCTGTGACCCTGTTAAACACGTTAAACACGTTGATCATTCCAGCTTCCACAATGGCACATTAAAAAGAGAGAGAGAGAGAGAGAGAGAGAGAGCAGTCTCGGAGCAGCAACCAGCGGGGAATGTTTTATTTTTGTGCTCACAAGGACGGGTTTCACAAAGAATCAACAACAAATCCAAAAGGTTAGTTTAGTCTGACTTTTATTCCCCTCTCTCATGTCACTTTTCCTCCGATCACGTCGATTAAACCATGGATGACGTCATAATTTCGTGCTTCTTTCCTTTTGGCTGGGCCATTTATTATTTTTATTTTTTTTGTATGCACATTTCAGGAAAATGTTTGCTTTATCTTCCAAACATGGATGGTCACACAAGTGAGCGTATCGGGGTTTGCAGAGAGTGAAGTGGCGTGTTTGGTTGTTGCCCTGCTAGCATGTGTGAGTTTGTCCGTGACCGGGAGCCGATGGTTCAGCCTGTAAGGAGAAAGTTTAACAGCGTGAACTGTTTTGGCCCACAGTAGCTTGCGCGCCGTCCACTGATGAAGCGAAACAACCAAGATGACGTCTGGTAGCTTTCCTTGTCGAGGTTTCGCAACAATACTTTCACTCTTCAAGTTGCTTTTCTTACATTACAGAAGAAGAAGTGTCTGCTGCCTCATGGAATCGTGGTTTCCAATCAGCCAATCAGCTCCTAGCTGTCTTTGAACTTTATTTTAGACTCTGGTATCACTTTAAAATAGATAAATCATTATCATTGCACCTTCCTGGTAAATGGCATCAGATGACAAAATGGAATGTAGGTTGTGGTGCTGGGGGATTGTATTGCTTTATGCTGATAGGTAGTCTTTAGCTCCCTACCTTTATAACAGTAAGGAGAGATGTATTACTATTTTGGTCTGTATTTATATTCTTTCTTGTTACTGTATTTTACATTGTCATTGTTGTCAAAATTAGATTTTGGTCACGTACATATTTCCAAAAAAGACTCCAGGCGTATTGGAGTTGAATTAATCTTGCTCGCATATTATCGCTAATCCAATTTCTCCCTCCAGAAGAAGATTTAGGCAGATCATTCTAACCTGCACCAATATGATCCAAATGTCTTCTTTTTTTTTTTTTTTTTGAAGACAAAAACGTAATCTTTTTTTATTTTTTACTTTATGTAATAGCGATAAATCATACATTTTGCGTTGGTTAGCAGACAAAGGGAAAATCAACTCCGTAGCTCATACATGTGTGACGGAAAGCGCTTTATAAGAAGTTGTCCAGACACGTTCGAAAACAAACAACATCAAAAATAGCAATAATTGAATCGAATGGAACGGCAGCAGTAACCAAAAACAACACCGCGCTCCCAGACAAAGTCAGTCTGTCAGGGACTGAACCCCCGCGTACTTCAGCTGTACAACCTGTGACCAGGTTCTCTGTCATCGCGTCTGGTCTGAGCATCCTCGACACATCAGTCATTTCTATGGAGATTAATTGATTATTTTTTTTCCTTGGATGGGTACCCGATTTGAAAGCATTTAGGGTTTAGGCCGATAAAATGGAAAATCTATTGTGTTCTACAGGATTTTGATAACATTACTGTGTATTTAATGTAAACTGACAGCCGTCACCTTAAAACCCAAATTGTTAGTTAAAAAGTTTTCCATCCTCGGTATCGACAACATTTCATCAGTTGATTGATTTCTTCTGTCATTGTTAAAGAAATAGTGGTGAACCAAAACGAAAGAAACGTCTGTTTATAGTTCCTAGAATGTGATTATTTACTATTTTTCTTTTCGACTGGTTGTCTTTGGGTTTTGGAGAGTGACCTTGGGCTCCGATGGAACGATTTGACCCGACAGCAAATGTTCCTTCTGTTCAACATTCATCTGCTCATTTTTCCAATTGTTTTCTTCTCATTCATTCCTTCTCATAGTTCTCCTCCCGACGGCAAATGACCCACAAGCACTCGAACCAATCTCCTCTTGCTCCCTAACAGATTTCTAGATTGAATCTTGCTCTCTACAAGATCTATGCCTTATATTCCATCAGGCTCCTTTGTTCATCGCCTTCTGCTGCTAACTAAGAGTAATTTAGTCATCGGTTTGCTGCTGGTGGCTCATTTCCATTTCTCCCGTTTTGTTCTGTTTCTTTGTGTAGCCCTGACAAGACTGGCTCTGTCCTCCACCCCCGCCTCTCCATCTGCGCCACCTTTTAATGTTGTTTCACTGCCGATTGCGAAGCACCCATCCTCATTGCCGCCAGGTGAGGCAAACTGCAAAAAATGCCTAAATGAACACACACACTTGAGGACCAATTTCCACTGTGGGCTTCTGTTGAGCACTGCTGCATATAGAAGCCGTTTCTCTGTGCAAATGAATTGTCGTTAAGCAGCGGTGTGATTTCCTGCTTTTCTTCTTCTGGGTTCTTTTTGTGCGTCGGCCCAGCTGTTGTTATATCCAGGTGGTAAAAGGGCATGTTTTTCACTGAGCTAAGTTAAGACACGTCTAAACAAGTTGAGCCAAGCTCTGGCCAGCAGGAGGTACATTATGATCCTAGTGAGCAGTGTGTTTCTGTTTCATGCGCACACACGGCCTCATGCATGCACGGGCAACGCTTAACTCTAACTTTGACCTCTCCTCTCCTCAGGGTCCTCCCAAATCCTGGATGACACACGGTCATGAAGAAATAGAAGCATCCGTTGTGGTGAGCCTCTCAAACTTCTGCTCTGCTGTCTGACACCCCCCCCCCCCCCCCTGCAGGATCCATCCCCCTTGTGTTTTGTTCAGGTGTGCGCGTGTTTTTGTCGCAGTATTTGCATCAGTGCTTTGGCATTTTTTTCTTTTCTCATACCGTCTCTTCACCCTCTGGCCTAGTTGTCCCCCGCTGGTCCCCCCCCCCCCCCCCCCCATTGAGGAATGGAACCACAATAATTGTATTGCAGTTAATAGAAACCTCTAAACAAGTTGAGCCAGTTGTGGCCAGCAGGAGGTACATTATGATCCAAGTGAGCAGTGTGTTTTTGTTTCATGCGCACACACGGCCTCATGCATGGACGGGCAACGCTTAGCTCTAACTTTGACCTCTCCTCTCCTCAGGGTCCCAGCTGACCTGCGCTAAATACTGGCCGTGGGGTGTCGTCGTTGGAGGGCCAGCGGAACAAGCGTGTACGTGAGTGAGAGGCGATGAAGTCCAGTATGAGGCAGTGGCGGAGGCTGGTGCTGCTGGGAATGCTGGCCTGGGTTCTCCTCTTCCTCGGCCTCCTCTCCTACTTCCTGGACGCTCGTGTGAACGAGCCCCTGACGTCTGTAGGCTCTTTATTCTCCCAGCACCCAGACACCCGGCGCCTTGCCTCTATCCAGGCCTCCCACCAACAGCACGCCAACTTGGGCCCCCGACCCGAACTGGCATCCACCTTAACTACAACCCACCCCGGAGTGGAGCCAGAGACGCGGCCCTCTGCCAGCTCAGCGACGCCACAGCTCAGCCTGGACATGAGCCACAGCCCCAAGAGTGCCCACTACGCCGTTTATGGCAGCCACGAGACCAGCCGCCCGGACTACCTGGACCCACAGAGCCTGGCTGCCTGGTCCTCCTTCGGGACAGAGAACGTGGGCTCTCATTCAGACCCTTCAGTCCAGAGTCGCGAGAGGACTTCCCAGTACGAGAACCACATCAGCACCTCACGCTACCGCGGTGACGGGGAGGAAGAGGAGGAGGAAGAAGATGATGAGAGGGACAATGTAGACGAAGAACTCCGAAAGAGGACTCCAGCAGGCAGGAGGGTCGGCGACGACTCTGCCGACCTGGAGGAATATTACTTCTCCGAGTCGGGCTCGGTGGTGCAGCGGTTGTGGCGGGGTCGCGTGTCCGCCGGCATGCTGAGTCCTCGGCTGCAGCGCGCCATGAAGGACTACGTCAGTGCCAACAAACACCGCGTTTCCTACACGGGGCACCGCAGGGCCGCCCAGAGTGCCAATGAGCTTCTGTGTCAGATGAAGGAGCAGGCCCGGCTCCGGACGGTGGACGGGTCGGAGCAGCCCTTTTCCTCGCTCGGCTGGGCTCGGCTCGTACCCTCTCGTCCCCTGGAGCGACTGCACAAACGGCAGGACCGCAGCAGCTTCAAGACCTGCGCCGTGGTCACGTCGGCCGGTGCCATCCTCCGCTCAGGGCTGGGGAAAGAGATCGGTGAGTGGAGGAGAGAGAGAGAGAGACAGAACGGGTTTGGGGGGTTGGCAGCGGGGGGCCACAGAGGTTTGTGTGAAGCAAGCGACGTGAAAAAAAAAAACCACCCTGCTGTCGACAAGAAAAGATAACCTGTGACACGCTGCTACAAAACGTATAAGCGGCAAGACCAGCTCCTCTGTTAAGTCTTTACTAAAATAGCGTACATGTTACTGCCAGAAATTTGAATGCACACATTTTCACGAGTGTAAACGCCGGAAATTAGAGGGAGAAGTTTCCAATACTTGCTGAGATGGAGAAGTAAGTGATCCGATAAAATCCAATGCAACAGTGCAAGTGGAAAAAGGCGTGGCGGATTTAATTATTACTTACAATATGTGATGCCCATGCACCAAGCTTCCACTCGATCAGAGGGCTGCAAAATATACTATTTTTATTTAATATTTCGTTAGATTTTGCACTAAATTTGCTTGTAAACTTGACGGCGCTTGATCTTGACCATGTAGTCACTGAAATAAACAAGATAAACACGGTTTACTTCCTTTTGATGCACATTTTATATATGAAAAAATATGAATAGCTCAAATTCCCTTAAGAACAAAGGGTTCCCCCTCCGGGCATCTGGAATTGAAGGAACTTTCATGCCCTGACATTTGGATGCGTGTGTTGACACAAAGAAGGGGGTCATTAAAAAAAAAGTAAAGATCAATAAAGAGATGGTATCATTCATTTTCAATTAGAATAATTTAATTGAAACTGCTATTTGCTTTAACTGAAGTGCTTCAATTGTACACGTATAACAAGACTACCAGGAGCTCAGATATTTGCTATTCATGCATGCGTACAGTACATAGACACATACATGCATGATGACTGAATTTTAAAGGTCACCCTGCAAAACTGTTCTTCCATTCTTGGGGGCGGCGTTTTCGGATTAAGTTGTCAAGCAGATCACAAAGAGGCTTGAGCGTGTGCCTAGTGCATGTCCCTGTGTTTCAATGCGTCCGCTCTCGGTTTAGTGACTTTGGCAGCTATTTGGTAAGTGTGGAGAGTGTGAACTCGGTGACAGATGGCTCACCAGAAAAAAAGCACAACCCCCCTCTGGTAACCAATCGGGCTCCTTCATAGAGCGTCCTTGCATGTTCTTCTGAATTCAGCTGCTCAAAGAAGGCAAAATATTTATTATTAAGGGCTTTATGCCTTATATTATATGATTGCATAATGCATCTGCATACTGACAGCGTTCCACAGACACCAGCTGGCCCATACAGCATCGCCCAAAAAAGAGAAGCCAATCCCTTTTAAGTGATTGCGGGTTGGCTTATTGATGAATATTGAGCTGTTTTTGCTATTTCAGGGTTCTTTTCAGTGCTGGAGGAAAAAGAACATTTTACTGAGTTTTAGATTTTGAGAAGCCAATTTTGACGAGGCAGTCTGCAGCTCTGAGCAGCAGGCCTTGGACTCTGCAGGTGTTTGTTAATCTCCCTCCCTCCATGTTCCTTGTTGGTTTGTGTCCAATAATGTGACCCACGTGCACATAATCAAAGGGGAACTGCACTTGCCTTTTTAGCACCATGGCACAGCATGTGTGTACCTTGTCATAGTCAATTTGAAGCCTCCGGTGAGCCATCCAGAGAGTCATTATGGGAATATAGGATTGTTGTCAAATAAAAAAATGTAATTCATGGCCATTTATTCTGTGAGTGCAAACACATCCATCTATATGTCAGAGTATTGGTTCAGTGTGTCATCATCATAGTATTCAGTCCCTGAGAAAAGAGTTTTCAGATCAGAGATCAGCTGCTTATACTAAATAACTCACAAATGTTTGATTGTTCTGGAGCTGAGTCCTTCCGGACCGTGTTGGAAAAGCTCTACTTTGTTACATCAATTATCAGGCTCGGCTTCATCAGGAAATCAAACTCAATCGATCCCCCTCTTATCTGCTTCTTCTGACCCGGCGGACCTTCCCCAGAATGCTGCGCTGCATCAAAACCTACATTTTGCAGCTGTGAATTGTGACAAAAAGCTGACAGATGACTGTGGCAATCAGTCTTTTTCTGTCCCTTTTTATGAGGCAGACTGACATTTCGATTGTCAGCACAGTGTTCAGTTTGTTTTATGTGGTTTGTGTGATGTGTGGCTGCCATCGTGTGGCCAACAGAGGGGAAAAAAACACACAGGCTGGAGAAGATAACAGACACATGACTATCCAGTGTAAGCCTCGTTACAATAGTGTTGACTTACCTCATTGGTCATTTTCTCTATTTTGGATCATAGTTTGTGCTTTTAGTGAATAACATTTGTGTAAATACAAAAGAACGTCTTACTCGTAAAACTCTATTTAGAAAGCACCAAAATAATTCTGTGCATGTCTCCCAGTCACATAATGGGTTTGTAATTGTAACAAGGACCTGCATGTTTATCATATAGCTAATTTAAGGAAATCTGAAAAAAAAAACACATCATCTAGTGCAACGTAGTTGCATACGTCTCTGTCATCAGGCATCTGACGAGCCCCAAAGAGCCAGAACAAACTCTTAAGAGTCGACGCCACACTGCAGCAATCCTCCACGAGGTCAGAGGAAGATCACCTCAGACATCCACAAAGGAGCAGAGCAGGAGAGTTTAATCTCAGACACCGACTCAATTCAATGACTGAGTATGAGTAATGGTGTTGTGGCACTGTAGTCGTCACAAACCTTCTGGCATTTCCTGATGATTTAAAGAAAGCCACGGTTTTATTTTATCCATAATTATAACAACTCTCACAGTTCAACAAGAACAAATGTGTTCCACTGGTGAGACAAGTCAATTGCAAAAACAAGATGAGGATTAGATATTGATCATGGTTGGGTTACTATTGAACTAATAAACAACTGTAGTTTGAATTGGTGGAAACTGCATCCATATAGATTTGTAAAGAGAAATAACTAAACAATAATCAAAAATGTAAATATATATATATATATATATATATATATATATATATATATATGTGTGTGTATCATATACAAATTATGAAAATGTCTTATTTTACACTCTTCTTTCCAGTAGAATAGAACACGTATGATCCCTTCTTCAAAATCCATCAGTCCGGTTGAGCCCTGTAGGAAACCGATGTGTTCTCTGTATTCTATTGCAGCAGGAGGGCAAACTCGAGGTCAAGCCAGTGAGCACGTTTTGAGTGTTTTGCAGTCGGTCGTGTTATGAGCACCAATCGGCAGTCAAGTGTCTGCAGGGATGGAGGAAGGAGTATTGGATGAAAAGCTGAAAGATCATCCATTCTGGTGTCAGATCTACACACGAGAAGCGACTGATGGACCGATCAATATTCAGGCGGACGATGCATGTTTCTAATTATTACTGCGAGCATTCATCACGCTGACTTCATGTCTGTGTATGTGTGAACTGCGAGGCTCGCTGCTGCTAACAAGCAAAGATATGCACAGAATCGAGGGAAACTTGAATGTTTTCTTTGTATTGGTTGTGTTTTGTCAGTTTCAGGCGCCAACCACTAGAGAGCACTTTGGTCACGTCTGTAAGCCTGACGTGCATCGCTGTAAATACTCGGATCATGGTTCACATCGCCGCCGTGAGCGTTTTGGCATCGTGACTTTTGCCACAAACACATTGATCCGTCTCTAACATGCATTCATCCAACTACACAAAGCTTTGTGTGTGAACAAGCTATAATTGGGACGTCATTCACATGCAAACAACTGCGTTATTGTTCAAGTTTCTGTGAGCCGCAGTGTGGCTTCTTACGCAGCTATTCTTTATTTCTTACAAGTTGCCTCCGAAATTAGAGACTCAGCGGTGACCACATCAAGGCCGTGAACATTTTTTCTGCTGCTTGTCCCAGTTTGCATTCATGTGAGGCTGTGACAAGCCTCACATGAATGTCACGCACAACACCTGGATATGAAGAGCTGCCTTTCGTGGGAGGAAGTAAAACTTCAAAGAACTTGGAGGCAAAACAAAATTGGTGTCATACTCTATGGTGCCAAATAGGTTTTTGTATTTTATGTGTGTGTGTGTGTTTTGCGCAGGACCATGCGCACTAAAAGGTCAGTTCATTACCTCCAGGACCTGTTTTCTCTTTCAGATGCTCACGACGCAGTCTTGCGCTTCAACGCAGCGCCGACGGAGGGATACGAGCGAGACGTCGGGAGCAAAACCACCATCCGCATCATCAACTCACAGGTGAGCGGGAGTCCGGCCTTGCGTGGTGCAGAATGTTGAATTATTGATGCACGTACAACTCGGAGGGCTGTGTCACTCACTCAAACGCATGTAAAACAAATGCTGGAGATATAAATCATTCATGTCACAGCCAACTGACTGTTGTTTTATTAATGGGCTTTTTTTTCCATGACAAATTATTGTAACCTCGTTTCTTAAACTACAATCTCATCACCAGCAAAAGTCACAGCTTAAAAATGAACTGCCACCTCAATTTAGTCAAAAATCTTATGTAGCACTCAAGATTTTAACCATGCACAAAACTAAGAAAATGTCTCATCAATCAACCAAAAGCTGAACAATCTCTGGGTTTAATCTATTCAAGCAGCTCTGAATGATATTGTTCTATTTGCAATGGTCTAGCATGTCGGGACGATGCCAGACGTCTGGCTCTGTCCAGAGGTAACAATGTGTGTAGCAGCATGTCTACGCTGGCTATTTCAAATATCCCGGTGACCTTACGATGACAACGAGACTTCAGGCATCAATACAACTCCCCGTAAAATTGGGACCTCCTGCTTTTTACAGATTTTGGCCAATCCTAAACATCGATTCAACACTAGCTCCATCTACAAGAACGTGACCCTGGTGGCCTGGGATCCTGCCCCCTACACGGTCGACTTACACAAGGTATGTTCCCGCTGTCACAGCCATATAACAGCTCCGTTAATCTGTCTTTAATCCACCGACGTATCCTGCAGCCAGTTTACAAACTAGAGTGGAACTAAGTACACCCAGAGTTAGGATAAGACATTTATTAGGCATCACCATGGTAATGACCTGTCATTCATAAAGCATTCACACGCCCTAGAACATAACCCGCTTTTATGATCTGTTTGACTTTGTATTTACCTTTACTGTATTAAATAAACCTGAGGCTGTATTGAAGAATACTTTCACTAGAGATTGAGACCATAAGCTCATGTTTATGTTTACTGAGGCAATAAATCAAGTGGAGAGTAGTTTCTTCCTCTCAGAGCGATACACTGTGACTTATTATTTCTAAGCAGAGAAACTGCATGTGGAATGTTAATTAATTTCAGAGATAATGACTAAAACTGCAGTTGTTATTGTGCTTTGACCTGGGAAAAAACTGCAGTGGTTGTTATGTTTTGTTAGTCAATAAAGGTGCATAGTTGGAAGTTCAAATATTGGACTTCTGTTGTTGAAATCTGATACATCGCCACTTTTATGTAATAGTTCTGAGGGGCTATTCCACAGCTGCAATCACACCTGTTTGGTGTGAAATGTGAGGTAAGTGGACATGAAGTAGAGGTACACACGGGTAAAGGGAATGTGTACAAAGTTTTGGTATTTTTGTATTCAATCTAATCAAAAACAAATGTTATAACTGGAATGTGTGTTTTTACCATTACCCCAAATGAACCAAATGTGGACACATTAAGTAAATGTGGTAATAAGTGCAACAGATTACCTCTTGATGTCTCATCCCCTTCAACATACGTTTTTCTCGCTCTCTTTATTGCAGCATTTCCCCATATAGATACTTAGCTTTTAGTTGTGGCAGGCTGAGCATTTTATGAACTTTGCTCCAAATCTCTGCTGAGGGCTGAAGTGATGGATTTAGTTGCCCCCCCTTTCCCCCCTCGGGTGGGAGGACTGTGATGGTATTTGAGTCAGTATATTACATCTAAAGTGGAGATAATCGACTTCCTTTATCCTATCCAGTCCGAATGTGAGTCACTCCCTGACCAGTGTTTGCATCTTTTAAGTATTTAAGTAATATGTACAATGTATTCTATATTTGGCGATGCCAGTCCTCCTCTCCCTTTGGTGGTAAATAGCTTAATGTTACGGACTCTTCCCATTCCACAGGTAATCCCTAACTTCCTCCCTGTACCGCTGCAGCACGGATCCAGGAAGTGAAGCATCATGGAGATATAGTTCATCTTTGAAGTCACCATCGTTCTAACTGCATTTACTGGCCCCCACAGAGACATTTTACACTTGATATTTTTTTATATTCTCCCCAATCGATATTTCATCTCCCAAGCGTAACACTTAAATAGAAATACTCGGTGTCAGCAGGGCGCACGCTGGGAGGAGAGGGCCCACTCGTTTGATTCGTTACATGTGCCGTGTATTTCACATAGAACGGCGTCCTGACCAAACCGCAATGAACATCAGAACACTTTTGATAAAACCCGGTTCCTACCGTTATAGTTATTCAGGGAATAGACTGCTCCCAGACTTCTGCGGGGCTTTAGTGTTCAGGTTAATCAGCTAAAAAACACAGTCACTAACATTCTTAGCCTTCTCTCTATGGGTTTCTCTCTGAATAATTTGCATCATTTGTCCATTTGTTATTATCTTGGAACATTATTAATGTCCTTTTTTGTTATTCATTTTCATATGCTAATTGTTTCACAGGATAATAATAGACCCAGTTTTCCTTTTAAATCAACAATGATGAGTTTTCAGGCTTTAACCTTTACTTCTCTACAGGAGCTCGGGCTTGTTATGTAAAGCCCGTCTCACTCACTAATATTTTCCCGGCGAGTCACACAATAAAAGGCTGGTGGCAAGCTATTGTTTTAAGACCCATCGCTGAAACAGCGCAGTACTTTAACATCAATCTAGATGACTTATCGTGCATCACAATGTTGCGGTTTGACAATTGACAATAGCATGAAAATGTTTTTGTCCTGTGGTTATTTTATATCTACTGAGCTGGTTCACTCTGATGATGAACATCGTTTCACTGATTTATGATGTTTCTTCCGCACATCCATTACATTCTGCTATATTTTCATCAATATTTGATATGCTAATTTCACCACCATGCTTCTAGTTTCAGCCACTCTACTGAACACGTCCAATATGTTCAGTCGATAAGAAGACATGGTTATTGAAGAGGACAAAATCTACTTTATTATCCACGATTTTGTTAAATCGCACATTATTTATCTATTGATGCTAAAAAACTAAAAGCATATGTGTTTATCAGCACACATTTAATGCAGTCCAGAACCAACTTGTCTTCTGAGGAAAATATTTAGCTTTCATCAAGAAAGTTATAAAAGTACAACTTTTGAATGTTCACATTTAGTGGACCTAAAGGCATAATGTGTATCTGTCATTAGTTTTAAATCATTGATTTTTGCAAGAAGGAAAACTCTCCATTTCAGTTTTAAGTCTCTAAACCTCACAAACACACAAATGTTGAGTATAATTAGAAACGTTGTGTTGTAGCTCTGATGCTTTCTCCGTTTGTTGTGGCAAAAGATCTGAGGTGCTTTTGAAAGATGAAGAGAAATGTTTTACAACCAATTATATTTTGCGCATGTATTAAATATGTAGTATGAGTGATGTGCACTAACGGCGCAAACTGCTCAAAAAACAGCACCAGTCCTGACCGCGCTCACAATGCTTACTCGGGGAGGGGAGGGGCACTACGTTTCCACGACAACCACGTGAGACGTGGCTGATCAGTGCATAATCCCTGCAAGGTGTGTCCTTGGCCAAGACACCTATCTGCATATAAACTGAAATTTAGATTCAGTGTGCTATTCAATTTTTAAATTTATATCGTTCTCCTGTCGATGTTTTAAGAAAAATACTTTTGTTGTCATTTTTGTCCAATCTGGGTGTTTCTCCTAAATTTAATTTAATTTTCCAAAGTTATGAACAGGCCCAATATCTTTCACTGCAAGACAAAAGATGCCTATTTTTCTTTACTCGCTTTTTTGTGTCAAAGTGTAATCGTTTTGGAGGCGATACAGGGGGCGACTTTAAAACACCACCACAGTGATTTCATTCTGCCACTTAGAACCCCGCTGTCTGCTGAGTTGTCCCTCTCTTTCTTCGTCAGTGGTACGCCGGTCCGGACTACAACCTGTTCGGTCCGTACATCGAGCACCGCAAACTCCACCCGGACCAGCCCTTCTACATCCTTCACCCGAGCTACGTGTGGCGACTGTGGGATGTGATTCAGGGCAACACTCAGGAGAACATCCAGCCCAATCCTCCCTCGTCCGGCTTCATAGGTGAGTACGCGCACAAACGCATTCATAAAGCCGAAATGCGTTTGGCGTACGTCGGATCCGCTTCCGTGCCTGCTGGGGGAGCGGATGCCAACACGCTAAGAAATATGACACTTTTATCCTCCGTGTGTCGGCATGTGTTGATGCGATGCCCTCCAAAGCAGCGCGTTGATTCTCCTGCTGTGGATTCTACAACATTAGCTCATCGCTGGGATGCTTGGTGCCAGAGACAAAACCATAAAAGACAGATTGTGTTCTATTCTGTAGCTTTATTGCAGTGTCGTGAGGCCACTATGAACATCTATTACTCATCACAGCACGGCTATACATCTAATATATCTGCCATTGAATTGTTTTAGCAGCAAGAGAGATAACACCTGGACACAGCTGGACGCACCCATCTGTCTCTGACTACCGGTTGAGAACAGTAAACAGTAAAATTGTCGGCTATAAATAAGGGGCAGAACCCTAACCCATAGTTACGGGGAGTTGAGGGAGTTACTTGAGGGGAGCTGTGTACTTAAGTGTCAGTGTAATTCTCTCTGTGTCTGTAGCATTATTTTGTATTTAATTATTATTGGCCGAATACTAAATAATATATGTTTTTTTAAAGAATAAATTGAACAGAATTAAAAACAACCTAACAACAAGCATCACTTTGATCTCATGAAACGCCGTAAACCTCGCCGGCCGCTTCACAACCTCAAGCTGCAGAGCTCTTGTTAGTCCTGCGCTGGCTGGAAGCCACAGTGCGCCTGCTTTCCTGTTTTGATTGCAGTAGCTGATTGCAGTGTCCTCTACGCTGTCACTGATTAGATGGCTGGAATGAAAGGCAGCAGGGCTTTGAATTTAGCGTGTTATTAAATTCTAATGCCTCACTGCTTGCATCCTTTATAATAAAACGGAAATGTCAGTGTGTTTGTTAAAGGGACCCTTTTGTTTCTATTCTTGTCATTTCTGGTTCATTCTGCTACAGTAAATGCTGTATGTTTAGATTATATTTTAGCCAGCTGACTGGCCTTTTTAATAAAATGCAAACACGGTCTCTAGTCAGAGGCATTTCCATTATAATTATCATAATTATCCATCTTAAATGTTTCTGTGGCACACATGGCAGACTTACAAAGGAGTGCAAATTGGTTCGTTTTTTCTTCCAAACACTTATTAATCCCAACTCCATGTATTTGGCAGACACTTTCGTACTTAGTGGGAGTAATCGGAGCCCTTCACAGTTCCTTCATTCACAATAACTTCAATGGAACAATTCTAACAGCAATGGCTGTCAATAGTTCCAGGTGTTTCTCAGCGTGTGCGCGCAGCGAGATATAGTTGCAGCTCAATTCACCGCTCGTGATGGACTTTTAAGGTAAGAGATTTAAAGTAATATATTTTATTATCACCAAAGCTGAATAGAATGAACATGTTGCCACCACTAAATATGTAGATTTAGACAATGATAACTGAAAACGGTTAACAGTTAACAACTGCGTTAATGACGCATACTGAATAAGGTTACAACGTATTGTGATTTCTGTTTGCTTTTTCTGGTTGTTAGTGGGATAAAGGGATTAACTAAGCATTTAAACTTTGAAGTAAGGACCATTAAAGTAAAGTTAATGATACTGAAGAGCGATATGTTTGTGACACAATGTTACTTGTATGATTAAAGTTTCTATTTCACACTTCTAAACGCTAACTCCAAGGTAATCTAGGGCTGAATTCTTTCAGGCTTTGTCACTGTTGATTATTACTTGTCAATATTATGTTGCAGCTCGGCCCATTTTTGATTTGATAGATACAGGAGAGGAAAGTTGGGAGGAACTATTTGAGATTTGATTGAGAAGTTTATGTGCCAGCAAATTAGTGGTATTTACAAAATAGCATTGTATAAATATTGATATTAAACATGTCTCTTGCGGTATTATGTGGGGGTTATCAAGTTGAGGAACAAAGACCGCACCCCATTTTCCGAAGTAGTTTCCAATAAAGGTGTCTGACCACTTCATCTGTCTTTTTCTTCTTTCAGCACAAAAATCTAATTATTCAACGGAGACGATCAACTCATCCTGCATCATAAGTCAACTCTTTAGGACATTTTCCTTTTTCCCAATTATTATTATTATTATTATTTTTTTCAATACGATCAACCTGCCACAATTTTCTCTTGGAGAACATGGATTTTTAGCAACCAGCGTCGGGAGCCTTGTTTTGACATTTTCCTAACTGCGTGGGCATAAGTGGGTTGCTGGTCCTATTCCAGCTGACGTGATCGGTCTTGCTCTCTGTTGAATTGTTTTCTTTCACCTTTCCAGGGACTGCAGATGCAAATAAGCTCGTAGCTAAAATTTGATACAAAACCTCTTTATTGTTGTTGAGAACAATGCATTTATGTGCATGGTCTGATGTAAATAAATTGATAAACTAAACCATCATTAATATACATTCTAAGGTTGTGGCTTTTTTTTGTGGAAAAAAATCAATTGCAGTGTTTGAGTCTGATTACCTTTTATTTCTTTGACGGTTGTAATCTCCTTTTTATAAGTCAAATAGAAAAGTAAAAAAGTGGCGAGTGTAGTTTTATGTGTCAATGTACAAAGTGCAGTGAGCCATAAGAGTTTCTAACAGACAGGTTGATTTAAACTCCACATATTTGTAATGGCTTTCCTAAAAAAACTACATCATCAAGCTTCTGCTTTAGTCCACTTGGCCGTTAAGTGAGTTAACGATGGTCTCCTTCATTCCTGTGTGAAAGTCATAAAGATTACATTAGTATTTAAGGTGACTTCAGATACAGGGTATTACTGAAACCACCATGAATTAAAGAAACTGAAAATTGAAACATTTTACCCTCTAAACATATTATTTTACAGATTTCTATGTGTTTCTATTGCCCACGTAGTACTTCCTGTGTGAGGCGACGATTGGGCTTATTAACCTTCCATTGATGGGACTCTTTCTTTAAAGGCCTTTGGGTGTGCTTAACCTTTAAAGGAGCACAAGCTCAATTTTTGTTTTGACTTAAAGATTGGTCTGACATTTAATTTCGGTCATGTTTCATAATGTTGATAAGTGCCTAACATTTCAATTTTATAAGATTGTGTTTTTCCACGTTTTTTTGGGGGGGTTGTTTTCATACCATTTTCACAACAACCTCCGCCTCTTTTTTTATAGTACAGCATTAATGATTCTCTTCCACAGCAATAATGTTTATTAAATAATTAAAACAATAACAACTTGAGACCATCTTGTGATGGGGAAACACCAGCTGCAATTCCATATCTTTAAGTGAGCGTGGTGGGCTCAGCCTCCATTTTCATCTCAAATGCACAACTGTAACGCTGTTTACGTCACGTTACTGCGTTCAAAAACGAATAGCCCGCGGACAAAGCACTCCAAACCTCATCTGTGGTGGTTCCCCATCACAGAAGGTGACTCCAGGAGCACATCTCGCTCTGATGCCTCTCACACACACACTCACACTCACACACACACACACACACACGCAGACACTCACAGGGAATATTTGATGCTAATAAAATAAAAATAAAAGTTTGCATGTTTCAAGGTTAACCTTTTTAATTGAAACGGTTTGCGTGTTCCACTTCACTGTTGTTGCTTCCCCTCTAATCCACAAGTAAACAAGTTAGATCTCAAACCGGCCCACTCTTCCTAGTATGGAGAATTGAAGCCAGATGAAGTAGGAGTCATCTGGCCTTCCACGGAACCTCTGATGTGCTCCTCTGCGTCTAACGTGTCGGCATCAATGTCTCCTCAGTGGAAACCTCCCGTGGCTTCCACTGAGTGCCACAGCTTTTACTTGACCAGTGACTCCAAGAGAAGGTGGAATAATTGGAATCAAGGTTCACCAAGATGAATTCAATATACATAAAACATGCAAGTAAATGCTGCAGCAACACAAAGCATTTAAGGCATCTTAAAAGAGGAAACCCCAAAACAGACACTATAAAATAAACATTATCAAATAGTAAGCACATACAGCTTAAAAGTTGTGTGACAACGAGGAATGAGGAGGGAAAGACGTCAGTACCATGATTTAAAACATCACTCCACTTATGAGACTCATCGAAGAAGCACAACGTTGGACTGGACGAGCTTTGCATTTACAGCAGCGCAGCGACTTCCAGTGTGATCGGGAGGAAATGTGTGATCACATTGACAGTTGGGCTCATAATAAACCTCTACAGTACATCCTTTAAACCTTTTTTATTACAACAATTACAATTGAGTTCATAAAACATAAAATGAGGACCGAGTAATCTATGTGGCCAAAAGTACACGTTGTTGTGTACTTTAGATCCTTTGTGCGACACTCCTTTAATACAATTTAAGGTAAATCCCAAGACTGTTACACACAATTTTTTAGACAATAATGTGCAGTTTGGGGAAGATCTTTTAGTTAGTTTCAACATTACAAGTGAGACCTATAAAGAATGTGCTGAACTAAACTCTTTTAAGGATGAATTGGAAGCGGACAACACAATGCGCCACATTGAGGCTGAAGTAGTGTCGGTTCTTGATGTCGGCTTTACCGTAAACGTGAAGGCTGTTTGGAAATATTCTTTTTTACAATTATATAATGTTGTAATGTTCAGATGTCCGCATACTTTTGGCTGTCTAGTTTCGACGTTTTGTGTTTTTTTTTTCTGTCCGTATCAAAAGCACAAACAAGCTCACATAAAGTACATTTACTTTTTTAATGCATTAAGCTTTAGTTGACATTCCACGCATCCACTGTGATTGTTATCAGCCGATACAATGGCCCTTATCAGCCTCACAGATGTGGTTCAGGGGCCCGATTCAATCAGTAGTAGGTCCAGAAGGCCTTTAAAATCTATAGTTGATTGCCGGCACACGAATGCAAGAAGATAAAGTCCATCTCCAGTGGGCAAAGGATGGCGCCGTGTTTCAGCTGGAGGAATGGGTCAGCTTGTATCCTTTAATCCAAACCTTTTAATATTTTCATAAATGGTGGTTGGGTCTCTCAAACCTACGGTTGTGTTCTTTAAATTCACGTTGTGGAGTTTCCACGTTCCCAATGTGGGAGCTGCAGGTTGAACCATCTGAAGCAATGGAAGTGAGAACCACTGACAACAGTCACTCAGTCTGGCTGGTAACAGGGTTTTTTTTTTTAAATTGGTGTCACCTCCTAAGTCAGGCAGTCGAGCTGATTCTTTGCTGCTTCATCGTGACTGTGGTTCTCCTGTCTGATCATGTTGAGAACATTCAGGCTCAGGCCGTGACCTTGGAGGGGGGGGCTTGTGTGCTTGGTGGCCGAGGTGCTGCAGAAGTGGTTGGCGGCGTCGGTGGAGGCCTGGGCGGTGCAAGGCAGCGTGTTGCTGCAGACTCTGCGGTTCAGATGGATCACAGTGGTCTTGGAGGGCATGGAGGTGTTGTGGTTCTCTGCTGACCAGTGCTTGCAGTGAAACAGGATCAAGAAACACCTGTAGAACTGAGAAAGAGGTGGAAAGACGGGACAGCGTGAACACAACATAGAGGCTCAAGCGGAGAGGTGTGGTTGACCTTTGCTTCACGCTCGCAGGGAGACTCAAAGTACAAGTCTGCTCACAGTCGAATCAGCATAAAATCCTGCCTCCTGGAAAAAGGCCTAAAAGTAAAGGTCTGAAGTATAAATGTTTGCTGGATATTGTTAGTTGGGCTGCATAGTAAAGGTTGGTGGTATTTATTGTAAACTGGTCTAACAGATTGTGTTTAAATGATAATGAATACGATATTGGGTAATCAAATTAGATCTAAATTGGTCAGATTACAGGGTCAAACTTCTGCTTACAAAACATGTTATAGAGAAAATGCTCCAGCCAATCACGGGGCACGGATTCTGCTTGGTTATTTGTGGTGATTGTGACCACGCTGCACAGCAACAATTGAGAAGCAAGAGAGTTGCAAGCAGAAAGAGAAAGGATGGACAGAAATTGTCAGACGTTGAAAGCAAGGTGGAAGGAAAAGAAAACGCATAGGTTAGGACTGGTTTCAGTTGGTATACGTCAGTGTATGAAAGGTGCAGAGCAGAGCACGCTGTGGCAGGCCAACCCACTGTCGTCATTTTTTATGCATTATGGATTACGTTCTATTTTTATCCTTATCTAAGGACGGTTTTGCTGAGTGTGCATGCGCTTAATCAGCACACGCAAACTTCACATTTAGACTTATGATAACATTTCCACATTTGACCGACTGTATCAAGAGGTTCTTGGAGCGGATGGAAATAAAAAATGTCATTTAACACGAGTTGACATTAAAGGAAAATTCCTGGATAGACGTGGGTAAAAGATGGCAGCATATCATTTGGTGTAAATTCATACATTCTGTGTTCTTGTTTCCAGTTGTGACTCCGGAAGCATCTTTGAACATTAAAACCTGAACTTCAGTCTCACTCGCTCTCTCTCTGTTGTCGTTGCAGGCATTCTCCTGATGATGGCGCTATGCGAGCAGCTGCACGTGTACGAGTACATCCCCTCCATTAGGCAGACGGACCTTTGCCACTACCACGAGCGTTACTACGACGCTGCCTGTACACTGGGTGCCTATCATCCCCTCCTGTATGAGAAGAGCCTGATCCAGCGGATCCACACAGGCCCCAAGAATGACCTTAGGTGGAAGGGACGGGTCACTCTTCCGGGCCTCAGCACCGTCAACTGTGATATCTGAAGGATGAAGCCTGAACCTCTGACCCCGAAAAAAAAAAAAAAAACACTCCAGCCTCGTCTGGCTGGTGGAGGGAGAGGTGCAATAAAGCCACTGGAGACGAGGAGGCTGGAGCTGACATGTTTCAAATTAGAGACCTTGAAGAACATAAGCCATAGACCCCTTAGGGAGGGATCAACATGGAGGCTTCTGAAAGAAGTTTTCCAGAAAAGAGACTGGCAGGAAAAGTCTCCAAGATGAAGCTGGACAAGACCTTCCTCTCTGCTTCAGCTGAGCCACGTTAGCTGTGGAGCTGACTAGGGTAGCAACAGATGTTTTTAAATAGTCAAGTGAATTTTCCATAACTGGGTGTTGCAGAAGCGTAAACTGTGTATTTCAATTCTTATTGTTCTCCACTAAGAGGAAATGAACCGGTTGATAATGATTTGTGATTGGCTTTTGTACCGGTTCAAAAGGGTTGTAATAAAGCCACCAAAGTCCTCCACGCAGAATGTCATCATCGCTACAGGCACTGACAGATTCACTCACTTTCAAACTTGCAGAGTTAAGAACTTGCAGAGTGCACATTGTAAAAGACCACAGGTTTGACATTCCTCTGATATCTTCTTGTGAAAGTTTTTCTGTCCGGTCACAGGCGGGACGCCTCACTGCTGTAGTTGTTGAGCTTGAAACTAAATGACTTCCCCGTGCTTGCCGGCTTACAACAGCCAGTCTGTCGCTCATTCACGATGACCTCTCGTCCAGTGTCAAGGAGCCAGGGAGAAACACACTGGTTGTTATGTTTATGGGTTCATCCCACCTACCCGTATTCCTTTTTCTTTACCGACAGATTAGCCGAATCCAATTTAATGGGGCCAAAACGACGTTCAGAACAAAGCGGCGCTGGGAACAGCCGTAGCCGTGTGCCTGTCGGTCGACTGAACACGTCCTCTGGTTGCCTTGTGACTGTTTAGGTACATGCAGTACATACTGTGCCAAGACTGCAGGGACATGGAGGTAATTGCCCTGAGAGGTGTGGGAGCAGGAGATTCTCAGCTTTGTCTCAGCAATCACCATCCCCGGTTCTGACTGTCACTTTACTCTTTATTGAATGTAATTGTACCTCTTGTGTGTAATGATGAAACCACTCCTGCGGCTCACCTCTGCAGTACATGTGGTCTCCAGGGGTTATTTCCTTGTTATGTTACAGACTGAAGCTCGTTTCTTACAACCATTTCTGTTTCGTATTTCCTGGATCCTCTATTATTGGTTCCTACCCGTCAGCAGCTCAGTGAAGACAATTATGAAAGAGGAATTTGAACCGGTAATATCGGCGGATTTGTTTTGCCTCCAGCTGAGATGATTTTTAGGTAACCAGTCAGTCTGTGCCACATCTGCAGCAGGCTCTAGAGGTATTTGTCCAGCGTGGGAAGGGATGCCTGGTTGTATCTGCAGGCAGTCCGAAAAAAATCTTGCCTTTTTAAAAGATTTCTTTTGCAAAGTGTGCTATTTTATAAAATGTTGTTGTGCCATTGGTTGTGGTTTGATACAAGGTGTGAAAACGTGTCTCAGAAATGTTGCCTTGAATAGTCTGGTGGATGGTGGATTAGATGGCTCTGGTAGTACGTGTGTGTAGAGGAGTCTGGAGCTCAACATGCGGCTTAGTAGGGCTGGGTATCATGCAATATGTGTCAGTGCTACTCAAACACATGCTAATACATTTATTTTACAAACAAGAAAAACGCTTTTTGTAACACCTGAATGCTTGACAGACGAAAACCTCTATTTGGGTATTTTACCACACTGGATATCTAGATTTGGGAAATTCTGCTGAGACTACTCTGAGTTGACACTTCCTTAAATCTAGTTAATTAACAAAATCTCCTTTAAAAAATGTCAGTGGACAAAATATTGGAAACCACATCTCTATAATGCAAAAAACTCAACAGCACCGCAAATTACAACCTCTGAAATGTCTTTATTGCAGAGATTAGAAAGTATTGCTTTTTGCAAGGTGGACCTGAACTGGAAACTAAGTGGCTGTAGAGATAAAATAAACTAATGGGAATGGCTAATTCAGTGAATTACAAACATGATAAGGATTTCATCACATTGATGCAAAATTCTGTAAATCTCATATTGCCAAAAAAAGCAGTTATTCTCATCCGTTTGCAGATGTCAGTGTATAAATTGTTAAGAACTAGCTCTCACCGTTGAGCGGTCTCGTGTTACATACAAGGGTCATATCTGTTTGACAGATATGGACACGTGTTGCCCAGAATGCACAAAGAAATGGCACTAGGGACGATACCCAGCCCCACTTTCTGGTGGATTATTGCATTGGCTGCTCGAAGAGTCTCTTAAACAATGAACCGTGTAAAGTCAGAAACTGTTGAAGGACTGTAAATATGTTTTACTTTAAGGAGGTTTTATCATTTGTTTTAAATCATGCAGATTTCCACCTTTTATGTTTTTCTTTTGACATAAATGATGTTTTATTGCTTGTGATTGTAATACACTGAAGGTACAAAAAGCCTCAACATATTGTAGATGTATATTTCTTGATAATATTGATTAATTTCCAAAGCACAGAGCATGCAAATCAGGATCAGGGCTAAGAGTCTTAATCTGCTGTACCGTGCTGCAAGTAGACGCCATCGTCATTAATGTTGTGAGGCCATTATGCTATAAGATTATTTCTTTCTAGAGTGGTATTACGAAGATTTTAGTGCATGCTTATGGACAAGGTAATCACAAGCAGCCGCGGTGCAGCTATTAGTAGTTCCCTGGTGGCACCCGATTTTGTGAAAAGGATGTGCCAAATTCCATTTTTAATTAGGTTTGTCAAGGTTGGTTGAGGACTGATAGCAGGACCTCTGAGGTGCTATTGTTTCGCTCTGGGATTTCTAATCCTCTTCAAGACAGCAATTTTATTGGCAGGATTAAACGCCGGACATAATGCTGAAATGTTTGCGTGTAAAGAAGAGAAACGTGTTTGCAGACACCATTTATTTCATTTTTCTCTACTCTTGAGGCCGATGTTTCACGCCTTGTTTTTTCCTAATGTGGGAATTTCTGCCCCACGCTGCCTCTAATTGATTGTTCAACATTTAAGTATTTGGACATTTCCCTCGTGCAGCTTCCTGCAACATAAGAGTGAAGATCTTGTTTCACTCGCGACAGCCTTAGCGCGTTCTTCTTGGCTCTGATTTGACAATGAATATCTCTTCTTACACTGCAGTTCATATTTAAATGGACCATTTGTATGATGTCACCTGCTGTCATTTGTCTTTTTTTTACCGTGTAAATAAAGCTGTTGTACATGTCATGTTTTGCTGTTGGCGACTCACCTGTTTATTCATGAGGATGTAGATGAGCGGGTTGATGACCGTGCTGCTCTTGGCCAGCAGTGACGGCACCACGCTGGCCACGGGACTGATGATGTTGGGTGGGCCGAATGTCGCCATCATGGCCACGACGCCGTAAGGCATCCAGCACAACATGTAGCAGGCCGCTGTAGTCAGAACCATAAACAGTATGTGGTACTCTCTCCTCCGGGCTGCAGTTTTTCGGATCCTACCCACCTGGGGATGAGAATCGGAGAGCGTTGATGAAGAGGGGATGTGTGTTCGATAGGACCTCCCCTCACGTGTAATACGTTTTTTCAAAGCATGGCCGCTGTTGTTCGTTTCCGACCTTGTCAGAAGTGGGTGATTTGGTTGGTTGTTATTTTTTAACTCTTAAAGGTTGTAAAAAAACTCCCTGTTTGTACTTTCAAGCATGTTCTGCAGGTTTCCCCAACAGCACAAACTACAATGCTAATCTTACAGACAGCAAGATACATTTTAAATAAGTTACTAATTTGCTTACCTTGTTTCAGGAAAGTGATCTCTGAGTGGTTTATTAGGGTCTACTAAATTTAAACTGTCTGTACTTTTACTGGAATTTAACTGCATTGTCCATTAAAAAAAACCTTTTTGTTACTATTTGTATGCATTGTGTAAGTTTCCATTATGTTCAGTACTCGTTGAATACATTTTTCTTGTCCAGTGGTTTTCTGTGTATTTGACAACTTAATGTGGGAATATGCTTCATCTGAGTGCAACACAAATCATGTCATAATGAGGTACTTTGATATTGTACATTAGTGTCAGATTAAATTAATCACTTTTCCACGCAGTGAACCTTAAGCTTTCGAGGGCCCGGGAGGCCCCGTGTGTCCAATCAAAGGCAGAGATCAGTTAGAAAAATAATTATCTACACCGGTGAACAAATTCTAAAAATCTACTTTTACTACTTTTTCTCTTGATGACTATTTCTAAGAGAGCTCATCTAGCTGTGTCCTAATCCAATTAGTCATAACTCTTTGGATCTCCTCACACACGGATAGCTTTTCTTTATTCTTCCTCCAACCTTCTGTTCTGTTGATGCATAGGAACACATAAAACGAGTTCAGCTCCCTACATGACAAACACTGAACAGCCCACTGAAGGCAAATTATGCTCCGTTTTAAGGATCGCTGGGGATCTAACCGGGCAGGAGCTCAGCTCTGCTCATGGACATGATCACTTCAAACGCACAAGATGGTCACTAATGCAAGAATGTGTCCCATTCACTTTTATTTTAGATACAAGTTGACTCCAGAATCCCTGTTGCTTCTATTCATTATTATTATTATTCATTCGCTTTAGCGCACGTCACAGGGGCATTGCACCCAAAAAAATGTCCGGATACAGCGCGGTGTCATGTTTGCATCACCGCCGAGCTGAGATGGCGGCGATAAATCACTGCGTCATTTCTGCCCGGAGATTGATTTGTACTCTTCCCCTCAAAAGACAAAATCAGATGTCGATGTATTTGTTCAGTGCAAAATGGGCTTTGAATGCTTGAGTTAAGTGCAATCATTTTCCTGTCACCTTTATTCCCTTCCACATCTGATGATTCCCATCGATTGGCTGGGACTATAGACATATAAGCAGCCTGTTGCTGCATTTCTTATATATTATGTCAACTGAATACTGGACCACAAAATGGCATCCGTGAACATGAAACAAAATCACTCACTCACACGGGAAAAGAGACACTTCTCGCCTCCGAGTTTACGTCTGCGTTGTGCGACTAAACATGCACATTACTCACTGGAGTCCGTCTGCTGTCTCTCAGCTTTTGGATGATGTCTCGCACTGTAAAACAGCTTTTTTAAGCAAGTTGCGCTTGCATTATTGCCATCATACTTTGACACGTTTCGCTTTTACAGATCTGCTATTTACTGCTACATCTCCCTACACACCAACCACATCTGTTCTGTACGTGCTGACCTTTCACTTGTGTTGTTGATGTAAGTGCTGAGGCAAATCCATAGATCCCCCCACGAGTAGAGGCTTTTTGTTCCGAGGAAACATTATTTGTTCTACTTCCTATGGGCTTGACTCTTGAAGGGCTGTTGCTGTTGCTCATGCACACTTCTGAAGGTTCTCTTGGTGCCGTTGTGCTCTGCTCAACACATAACATAACAGCAGTGAGACTATAGTTTTGCTCTCAGCTTCTTCAGCATTGAGAGGTTATCGAGTGAAGTCGCTAAATCAAGTCAATCAGCAGTGTGCGAGTGCACAGACGCCAGATGGACTACCTGCGTAAGACAGGCTTTAGATGATGAGAATCCACCTACAAAGAGCAAAATCCCTCTAAACCACAATGATGACTTTTCACATGCACCTACACGCGCTCAGCGAACCTTTTTTCTTTTATTTTGCCTGTTGATAATAATCATGTGTGCAATTTTTATCATTAATTGTAGGTTTTACGCAGCAGCACCATCCACACAATGTTGAAAATACTCTGAGTCAACGTGAAGGGAAATTAGGTGCGAAGATGTACCTCCAAATAGTGCTTAAGTGACAGTGGAGTCCATTTTTAAGGACTATTCAAGGTGATTCAAGGTTTTAGGTGATTGAAAGAGTGACTAAACAAAGGTTCTGAGACTGATCTGAAACTAATTCAACTAATGTGAGATGCCCCCCGGGCAGGTGATTATAGGTGAAGGGCACTTCTTAACAAAGTTGCTTATCGGTATCAGAAGGTTTTAGGAATAGCCGCCCAGCAGTAAGAGGAAGACAGATCCCTGCAGGAATGTCCCTGGGACATAAGACCTGTGGAGCTTAAAAGCAATGCCTCGGGTCCTGCAACTGCTCCTCCTTCTTTTAAGGGGTCAATGATTCTCTGTCTATACAAGCTGTCCAGTGATTATTTTATAATCTGCATGTCTTTTTAAAACTGAGATCCAAAGTGTTTCAAAAAAAATAAAGGATTATCACAACTAAAAAAAGAAGAAGAAGATTTGCGGATACCTTTAGGCTCTCACTGCAACAGCAGCTGATCTTTCTGCACTAATGCTATGATAATACCCTGGTCCAAACCAATCCTGCTCTCAGGAATAAACAAAGTAAATCCCTGAGAGTGTAGAGGATCTAACCAGCTTCAGAATCTGACAGCACCAGTTGCCGTGCTATGGATACTTAAAATGAGCATGCCTGTGACAATGTATACCCTCTTACTAAATATTGCTCACTGTGGTGGAAGAAACACAAATGCCATCACGGGAGAGAGTGCATGCTATTTCTGTGGTCCCAGCAGAGGACAGTCAGACTTAGCTTTTTTTATTTATATATCCTGGTCTACAACAAGACCAGAAGCTCCAAAAGGCTTATTCCTTAACCTGTACCTTGCACCGATAGAAAAGTGCTCTGTTAAAGGGCGGTTTGTGTTAGTTCTGCTTCAACGAACGCTCCACCTCCACTCCCGTAGGCACTGATCTTCACCCCCTTGTTTGTTACGGGGGTGACGATTGAGCATGCATTTTATCCTATATCTTTAGTTTGAAAGTCTGAGAATATTTTTCACCTTAAAAATGGGAAACCATTGGAAACATAAATTGGGGAGGGTGCTACTCAAAGCGTAGGTAGCGGAGGACCAATTTAAGCAATTTGTGGTTTTGCTTTTAACATGAGACAGGAAAACAGACAAGCATTTACACACACTTTGTGGTCTCTCTACCTGTTTGACCGCCAACAACAGCCGACTATAGCAGTAGATCATCACCAGCATGGGTAGACCCAGGCAGAAAGTAAAGAGGCAGATGATGTAAGCGTGAGACTGGGCCGTCTGAACCGTCCAGGACACAGAGCAGCTGGTTCCTGCACCCTCTATGCCGTAGCTGCTCCAGCCCAGCAGAGGGGGCACTGTCCAGAACAAGGAGTACAGCCAGGAGCCCCCGATAGCGAGTAGGGGCTTGCGGTAGTCTGGCCCGGCCTTGTTGTATACAGTCAGAGTGCTGTATCGGTCATAGGAGAGGATCACCAGAGAGATCAGCGACACGATACCTGACAGAGACAGAGAGGAGAACGTAGGAAGAAGACATCTGGAAGTCATCAATGCATTATTTTAGATGTGCATATGTGTGGACCAAACTCCATGACAGTCCATGCTGTGGTTGTAAATATACTTAACTAGAGCGCACACGTGAAACTCCCGGTGCTTTTGGAGCTACATAATTCTGTGAATATACATTGAGTATATACTGTATTTCATTGGATAAATGAAGACTTTGAGCTACTGGTGGCCCAGAAGGAAAGGTCAGGAAATCACTAAAGTCATCAGGTCCCATCCTTTGGTGAAGATGAGTGTCTACATGGAGGGATGAGGTCAGAGTCTAGACTGAACTGGCAGCACTGTAGTCAATTGAGTATTCGACAAAGCCTTCAAAAGTGCCCCTCTGATTTGTAAGGGCTTAACCGAGTAAATGAAGAATCTGCCAGAATGTTCTGGACTTTCATACGTTTCTTTGCCGCAAGTCACTCAGCTCCGGATTGCACTCTCAAAAATGTTGCTTCCAATTCCGATGCACTTAAGTGTAGCGAGCGGCAACACAGAATTTCAATCAATGTGTCGGCACAACAAAACCCACACACATCTGGCTTTGGTATTCAGGGGGAAAGGTTACAATACGCATTAATTTATGTGACAAATGACTCAGCCACGTCTATTTATTGACTCTAGTCCCGTTTGGCAGGGATGGAAAAATGACAATCAGGTTAACGAGCAAATTCTCCGTCTGCTGGCGCGATGTTACCACCTACGTTTGGGTGCAGATTGTAACCAAATTATACTCATCCAGTGTGTGAAGCCTGTAGCGGAACAACAGTACAAACAACAACAACAATAAAAACAATAATGATGATATCTAGAGTCCGTGTCCGTTGTGGTTTTCTGCCCAAACGTGTTGGATGACTACATGAAAAGGATCTGATTATTGCTGCTCATTCTAGAGTAACAAAACCACGGTTCTTACTTGCAGATGAAAACACAAACAAAACATACTTATTAGTGTTATGTTCAATTAATTCCAATAGATATGTCTAAAAGCTACACACTTAATAATTGACCACTGAGTAACTAATCAAATATGGCTCATTATTGTCAAATAAAGGCACGTATTGGCTTTAACGTACTTTTCAAACATTTTATTCTATAAAAAGTAGTTCTGCTAGTTTTACTGTAGTTAAGAATATATACTGTACACAACAAGTCCTACACTCTGTGTTTTGGAATATATATCTTAGGTCCATGCGTCATCTTGTGCTCACATTACTTCTGAACTTGCTTTCAACCCATGAAAGTAGGGTGACAAGATGTTACAAAAGAATATTTGTTCGGTATCATCTATCATCTTGTGGTGTAAATCATCAAAGGGAACCATAAAGTGTCAGCGACAATAACAATACATGGCTGTGTGCACCACGTGGACATGTACCAGGTGTCCATGGTGTATGAATCTCACTATAAATTAGGAAATACCGTGGCTCTAAAATGTCTTATACTGTCTTACTCTTTTGTACTTGAGCACCAGTCCTCATTCTTTCTGGTTGGGCTTAAAGCTAATTAATTCATATCTGTTATCAATCCTACTTTACAGTTGGTGCATGCAAGTTTCACTCACTTTTTCTGAGTTTCTCTACCTTTATTATCTGTGGCCAATGCAGCTGTAATCCCTACTGGGACATGCCGCTGGTCTCCACACAGTGAACCCATTGTGATGCAGCACAGGGTCCTAACACAGTACGTGTGTTATGATTCTGTGGTATTCTTTGTGCGTTACCAGAAAAGATAACAGTGCACATTTAAAGGGGTTCAGTTCATTTTATTGAGTCCTTATTCGCCCTAAACGGCCATTCCAAAACCCGAACAAATGCAATGCGTTGACCCATCTGCTGCTGTTCCTTACTCCTACATGAGGTTAACAACGGTTCAGCGCCCTTTGTATTTGCCGTAGAAAGGAGAGTTATTGTTGTGCCCCTTAGTTCAAAGGACTCCCCATCACCATCTGGCATTCCCGGGATGGCGAGAGAGAGGGCATGATTTCCTGCATCCCTTAAGAATACGGCACATTGAAACGAGGTACGCAAACCACTTTGAAGCATGATACGATAAATAAAATGAATTCAAATGTCCAGTCGTACATATGAAACCACATTTTTAAAGGACAATGTAGAATATCTAATTGACAAACATGCAGATCATGACCAACACAGAATGTGAGTTGTCAGTTCAACCAACCTGCATGTGTTTAGCACGTAGGGGAAGCTTAAACTCAGAGAACTTCCCTCCTGTTCCAACCTCGTTGATGTGAGAAACCAAAATCCCACCTATATCTCATATTTTAACTGAAAGATCAAATGGGGTCAGCGGACTCATCCTCTGTTGCAGTGTAATCGTTACCACACAGAACATAACGTCCATAAGCAGTGAGATGAGATCCATCCCCATGTTGCTTTGAATTTTCTGGTGGTTTGTATTCGACTAAAGTAATAATAAGAGTGTTGGGTGTGACGGCCCTGAGAGAGTAAGGCCATTCCATCAAGTTGTTCTGCAGAGAGAAGAGAAGGTCTTTACAAGTGATTCAGATTGCCAGCTCAGATATAAGTTTATTGAATCGAAAAACCTTTTACGCCATTGTTTTCTTTTTTGGTGAAATAGTCTATAACAAAATGATTTGCTCATTCTAGCTCAAGGAACTAGTAAGACTTTAAAATTCAACACAATCTAGGTAAATTGCGGTAAATTGTGCTACTTAGACAACTTGAAGTGGGAATTATGTTCTATAAACAGGTTGTTTTTAAATATTTTTAAGTTGTAAGAGAAAAACAATAAGCGAGAGAGCTTTGAGCACCGATTAAAAACCTAAATTGTTTGATACTCAGATTGGGTCGGATTCTTCTCTCATAACCTCAACTACAGGAAATTATCATTTTTTTACTAAATTAAAACTTTAGTTTTTATTTTGAATGACTCGTGTCTTCAGTCTACACAAAGGAGCCACAAACGTGGGATGAAACAAATTGAGAAACAGTCGCTTGATAAAACACAGGGTGTGTGCTAACGTTACATTTATGCATGGAATATACGTAAGCTAGCTAACTAGCAAGCAAAGGTCACAGCCGTGTTTATACTGGTGACACCAACACGGTGAGATGTAGTTTGACACAATATAAATGGCTCTACCTCTAAATTTGACTTTCCTGGTTTGCAAAACAATTTCTTAAATCACCAAATGTCACATTTGTAATTAATGAAACAAATCTAACGGGATCCAACAAATATTTGTCCCTCACTGTTGACCTGCGTACATAGTTTCCCTAAAATGAAACTAACAGACTACGATGTGTTGTGCTGACCTTCACCTTGCTGGTATCATTTTTGAAGAAACCATCTGCGAACAGACTATGAATGTTGTGAAACTGCTAGCGTGGCTAAAACTTTAGCGAAAATTGCCTTTATGCCGTAACTAGAGAGCTCAACAGCTCACACTGTATCGTAAAATCTTTGAACCTGACAAGATGTTTGTGGGTGGCGAATGCTTTTGAAATCTGTAACATCCGTGATGATTCATGCAGCGTCATGCTGGTCTCTGTCAAAGATGTTTAGAAGACCTTGGTGATTGTTGCACGTCTTGACTGCTCTTTACAATATGAACAACATCCTTTACAAGATTTATTTTCCCAAAATTTGATGGTGGTCAATAACGATATTACGTGTCCAATGAGCGTGTATTGAGCGTGTTTTCCCGCCGGTGACGTCCTGCGTTATCTCATCTGAAGGGCAGGCTGCAGGGCGGAGATGGTGGCCAGCTGATTTATAGATGGAATTAATAGCTCAAAGCAGGCATTAACATGGCGGTTTGCGGTTTAACTAAAGTGCCGGGCCCTCTTCGCACATATTAAAGCGTAGCCAACCATCAGCGGACACGTGAAGAGGTAATGTTCTTTTCGCAACGTAATTGATGGTGAGAATCAGATGTTTGTGATGATGTGAGGCTGCTGACGCTTAAACGAATATTAATCACACACTTATTGTGAACAACGGTTTGTTAATGCCTCATTTGTTTAAAATGAGGCATTACTCAACGTCACTTTAATTCAATTTTATGTTCATAGAATAATTTACATGTATAAATCTTTTATTTGCATGACAAGACTGAAAACAACCTACTGAATTGTTGCTGAGTCTACATTGTGTGAACTTCCTGTTATTTACATGCAGACGCACAGAAAAAGGATTAAAAGGAAATATATAATGGTCGTATTTCTGTCTGTGCTTAAGTGATATCTTACATTAAGGTTGAGAAACGGAAGATCTTAATATTGTTATTCGCAGTTTGTCAATATCTCCTTGATTCAATCAGCTTTGTTGTGGGAGATAGTTGGGTACGTAGGTTGCCTGCTTTATTGCCTAGACAGTAATAGAACAAACAACCCTGCAGGCAACATGAAACGATGATTGGATGTGTCTTCTGGCACTGTATCACTGGACAGCAGCCTGAGATACACATTATCTTCAGTATTCAGCACTGTAATGATGCCAGAGGGAGACAAGAGAGAGAGTCAAAGTATCCCTGCTGATTTTAATAAAATGGAAATTTGTCTCACCTTCTATTTTTTTCAGTGAGGGATAACGAAGCACAGCAGGTGAATAAACAAACAAAGTATACAAACATCCATTTTGACGCAGATATGAGAATGTGAAGAAACTGTTTGTGAGGACAGAGGAAATTAAGAGAAGATCATGTGTTGAATTGACTCGTGTGCCGCAGCTCTAAATCTGTTCTGAAAGCACTCACACATTTACGACAATGATCTTCATCCGGACTATGTGATTCATTCTCCTTCATGCACCCCGTCCATACCTAATCATGCATCGACAGGACACACCGACGCAGAGCAACGCTGCTGGGGATCGAAGGACAACCCCCTTTACTGAGAGTCGCCGAAAAAAACTACATGCTGAATGGAAGCGTTGACAACATAGACTGGTATTGATAAAAATTGTGAAATTAAGAAATAAATATTGGTACCACGTTAATTAAATATAAACATGATATTAATGTGGAGATAATTCAGTGCATCTTTTCTGTTATATGCAGTTGTGGTTACTGACTTTCTCTCTTCCTCCCAACACACACATGACTGAATTTCATTAGCCCAAAAACTGATTTGATTGATTTAATTATGGTCAATGGTTACATGTGTCTCGATGATATAGTTATTGTTAATCATTTTAGCCCAGATAACTGTAGACAGCAAAGACAGCCATGCTGATATCGACTGAAGACCAGTTTAAGCTTGACAATGTATTGTGACAAATGTTAAAGGCATTAGTGGTCAAGGCTTTAATAAACTCATGATTCTATTGATGTTATTGAGCAATGATTTTCTTTCAAAAAGGTACACTGCTGGAGCGATCACGAGGGCGCTGGGGGACGTGAGTGTGATGAACCCTTTCATGGATTGGATATACAATCAATTAACACATTTAAGAATCAATGAGTCACTTCAAATGGTGAAAGATGTAGGCATGAAGCTTATTGCCTCCAATTTCGTACATTATTGTGTCTCGTTCTGGTAGACAGACTGAACACTAAACGCCACTGAAAAGAATTGACTTGGCGACAAAAAGAGGCACATTTTCTCTGTGTGGCGTCAGTTCTTTCAGGTGTCTATGGAACATTAAAATACACGACACATCATGCACAAAAGGGTTTTGTGTCAAATTATCAACAGTCTTTTGTTTCTTTTAAAAATACGCTATGAACAGTATACGAAGTGGCTTAAATAGTACTTTTTTTGGGGGGGGGGGGGGGGGGGGGGGGGGGGAAGCCCTGGGGGGGAAGGGGGGGGGGTTTTAATTAACAGGGCCTTTTTTTATCCAAGAAGGCCCCTTTTAGAAAAAAGGTTTTTTTTTTTTAAAAACTTTAAAAGGGGGGGGGCTGGAAAAAAAAAAAGGGCTTTTTCAAAATTTCAGGGTAAAAAAAGGGTAAATAATGGATGCATACATTATTATCTGGGGGTAAGATATTCCTTTAATGAGTTAGTTTGATGCCCTTTTGACACTACAAATACCCTTCTGTGCAATAAAGCAAGAACAGGTAACAATATTTCCGTAAATAATAAACAGCATTTGCAATTTTAATTTGCGTACATTCTCCCGGCCAGTGAATACAAACTATCATTGTGAAAACACAACCACCGGGATAAAGACATTGGCCAAGCAATAACTAAATCGGACAGTGATACATTTATAACCTGGCTTATTTCTAAACCTTTTTTTTTTAGTTGTTGTTTGTTGCCTAGTAGCATGGGGGGAGAGAGAAGCTTACCGAAGCAGGAGTTGATGAAGCCGTACCAGCTGCAGCCGCTGCGCCCCAGCAGCCACTTGCCCCGCAGGCTGGAGGCGAAGCTCAGCGTGGTGCCGAACAAACACACCAGCATGTCGCTCACGCTGATGTTCAGCAGCAGCATGTTCACCGGCGTCCGCAGCTTCTTGAATTTGCAAAACAAAAGCAGCACCACGAGGTTGTTGACGAAGCCGAACGTCATGATGAAGCCCAGCATCACGGACAGCACCACGAAGCCCGTCGGGGAGAGCTTCGCCCTGCCCGCCGACGTGTCCAGCAGCTCCCGGTCATCGCTCAGGTTGAAGCTGTGATTCAGACCAGCCTGACCAAAAACCATCCTGCTGTCCATTCATCGGAGCTCGTCACGCTGGAGCCGTTTGGGTTCTTATACGGGTTGGGGTCCCTTACGAACGCGGAAAGTTTTTTTTTACGCATAGGAGCGTAGCTTTGTCTCCATGCTGTTTTGTCTTCTGGGACATCGGGACCTCAGGGCTTCAGGTGTTTCAAAACGCGCATTCCTCCACTTCCGTTGCAGCTGGCTCGCCCCTACCAGCCTGTCCCCGTTGTACCCATAAAGGGACACCTGTTACCTCAACGCATCGCGCGTCCCCTTGTTCGGATTCGGCGCGTTCAATTGAGTGCACCGGGTTCCTCTGACGTCTTAAAATGAGTTGTCAAGTCCGCTCGTATTCATTTAATTGCAATTAAACCTTCTCCAAAGAGTTTTGTGTTCGGGCATGTCCGCCATGTCCGAGTTCCCACTTTTATATCTATTGTAATCCGCCCTCAGTCCGGCTCAGGGAAGATGCGGTGTTGCGTAAAGTGCCCTCTGCTCCGCTGCCGAGACTCTTTTAAGGGCAACTCCTGCGTCACGAGACATCCTTATATGACAGGGGCCCACAGAGGTGTGTGCGTCTGCGCGCGTGTGTGTGCGCGTGGGAGTATTCACCTGTCGTGTGGAGACAAACCGTTCCGTTTTAGTGACTAGACTATTGCGGTTTAAGGTAATGGGTAGTTTAAGGTCAGGTTTAGTATAACACCGGAAGCGGTTATGGTCTCCAGGATAATGAATGTGAGTCAATGGAATGTCTCCAAAAGGCATGAAAACCCAACTCAACTCGACACTGCATGCGGTATTTTGACTGCAGGGTCATTATATTAAAAATCATGTACATTACAGATCGGCTGTGTGAAGGGCTATCATCGACCACGCTGTAATTATCAAAAGATAATTTGGTGCACATTTAGTCACGTAAATGTGCATAAATTACAATCAATTTACACTAAAATGAGGTTGTCACTCAGGTATGTCATATTGAGCGATGGCTTAGCCTTTTTATTGCGTTACTGGACAATCGCAAATCCTAGACTGGCTTCAAAAACTGAACAAGATTATTATTATAAATATATTCAAGTTGACTTGGACTGCATATTTATTCTCCCAAAAGTTTCCAATTCTCTGCTATAAAAGGAAAATATGCAAGTTAGTATTTGTCCAAACTGCAAAAGACTCCTTACACAAATGACAAAAGGCTCTCTTTCCATGCTGACAGCAACATTTCAAGAGAGAAAAAAGAAAGGCAAGTCAAACAGTCTGTCCCAAAGGGTTCTGTTTGGGGAGATTCTATTCCTCCCGGGGGAGAAACCCACTCAAGTCAAAACGTGTTCACAGCCACACTCACACTGGCTCAATTGGGCTTTCAAATGGATATTAATATTTAACCTGCCGCATGTCTAGGTGCAACAAAAGTTGGCAAGGTTCACTTGTCTCCTCAGCAACACCTGCTAAAGAAAGTGGAAATAAAACATCTGACGGAAAGATTTAGCTGTTACTTGAAATAATTGTGATTCCTGCCATCTCAGTGATTCAAAGTGTGCAGCTGAATACCAAGAGATAAAGAAGCTCCATTCAATACCTGAACAAGTGGATTATCCCCAGATGGTCATATCAGTAGTTTATACTCCGAGTACAAAGACTGCCAAGAATTTAATGGTTGAAGATGTGTCTGTTTGTAGCACCAATTTATTAAAGTCCACTCTTAATGCATGCAGTTTGTGTTGAATGGCCTACATTTTATTAACAAAAGTCACTCTCAACAATTCTGGAATGTAATGCATCTGAAGCGAGAAAATTTCTGAAATTGCCTGTTTATTTACTTAGTTGTTTACACCAGGTGTGCATTGTAGATTCATTGCGTATATCTCACATACAGTTAATCTTATGGCTGTTCATTTGTTTGTTTTGGTCAAGTCACCAACTGGTCTATCCATAGTCAAGGGGGAATTGAACTAGCACAATGTTTACACAGTCTGTTGTCTGTATTAGCTTTATTTATTCCCAAATGTCCTCTATAAATACTGTGAAAAGTGAAGTAAAAGTCCCCAACATATATAAGTATGTAATTTCCTAATAAAACTCTTCATGAACCTGTTTGCTGTTTAATCTGTAAGGAAGCAATGTTTTTTTTCAAGAATTCTTTATTTTGTTATACCTAATTGCATTTTTTTTTCATTCTTTTAAAAAAAAAAAAAATGTTTTATGCACTATAATATAACATGGAATTGTTGCTGTTTAGTATGCATGGTACCTGCAATGTGTATTTACAGAATAAAACATGTCTGTCATTGAGTTGAATTTACGTTCTCCAGTTAGACGAGCGACAGTATCATTATTTTGCAGCCCTAATTTCCTTGGTCTTCTACTATGATTAATACATGGCGTGGAATGTCAGCTCATATATTATGAATGCAGATACAATCCAAAGCTTAAAGTGGTTATTTAACAAGATCTGTCAGCTGCACTGTGGAAAGTTCCGTGTGATGGAATGAATGAGCCACTGTGTTGAAAATAAATGTTCAAGCAACTTGCATGCAAAGGTACAGTTACCCTTATTAAATGATAGTAAATATAAGACCTACCTTTATACTTATCTATTAGCCTATAAATGGCAACGCTCATACCGATAAAACAAAACGACTATTGATAGTAGAGGCGAGTCAAATTATCATCACGCAGTCTCTGCGGGTAAAATCAGGCTGCTAAATCGAGCGACGACAAATCGTCCATCTGCTAGTCCGCTCCCCCACCTGAGAGGAGCAAACTCCGGCATGTGTGCATTTGTGCACCGTTAAAATGAAAATATATATACTTTTCCCGGTGTTTATCTGAATCTAAATCTGAAGCAGGATCCATGCTTGTTGTTTTTTCAGTGACAGCTATGGACATAAAAAAACTACGCTTGTCAGTTAAGTAGCTCGCCAGCTAGCCAAAGCTAACTGCTAATGTGGTGCTAACGGCTAAACATTTGATTGCTTGTTTGTTACTTAGGCGTTTGGTTTGGCAACATGATACATTATCCCTTTCATCTAATATAATTGTTTGCTTATTGGAATTGGAGAAATGTTGACCATAGATACGTTTTCATATAAATTAGTCGCAAGTGTTGCCACAACAGTGTAGCTTGCCGTCTAACCTTAACGTTTGCAAGCTAACAGTTAGCCTGCTAGCCACGTAAACTGCTCCTGCTTGGTGTTGACGTAGCAGGAGCACCTAGTTCGCCTGTCTTGTCAAGCTAGATCAAATTGATATGAAATAGAAGCTCTGCCCAATAAACTTGGACGTCTCGAAGACATGAACAATTGTCACCCACAATGCTTTAGTTGGGCTTGAACGCGTGGCTCGTACGGTTCTGTGTCCTGTTGCATTGAGCGGATGATGAAGCGGGTCATCTGGTTGATATCAGGATTAAACAGAAGAATGATGAAGCTCCTTTTTGCCCTCGCATTGATCGCCTACATTGCCTGTAAGTACACTACTTTCTGAAACTGAGTGTATCGCGACCGTTTAACTGCCAGCATGAAGTAACTTTATTGCCGATCCTGAAAAAACAAGCTGAATTTTATTGACTAACGTTAGATGGACAGTGTGCAATTCAACACCAATGTAGCCCAGTTTCCAGCTCCTTCTATAACTAAATCACCAATTAATCAATCAACCAAATCATTATTATTGTTTTAGTTATTATTACATTATCAACGCTTGAAAATAATCAAGGATAAAATGCTAAATAAACAGGCTATTGCAACTCATAATGAACACACAAATGACCCTGTCAATTATGATGACGTCAGGGCCTTGACATCCAACACAAATACAGCTAGTGTATCACCATGTGATTACAGAGAAATATACTAAATTCAATTATTGGGTTTGACCTTCGAGTGAATCCTTATTTGGTAATATGGTTCTCACACTACTTTCCATAACCGCAGTGTAATCTTGACAAAGCACTGACATTTAGCCGGGCAAGTTTCTCCACGCAGTTTAATAAAGAAATAGCCCACTCGGACAGAAACCAGCCCAATCTGGTATGATGCCTTTTATGCATTTAGCTTTTCACTCAAAGTAAGCACTCCATTTTGATTTATATATGTATGAAACACGTTCTGTCGACTCGTATGGCAGCAGTGCAGGTATTTGATAAGTGGCTGAGCTCATCTGTTGCTTTCATATTTGATTCTCATCATGGCTGATTCATTTTAATAGTAACACTTTCATTGCTCTGTAAGGCTGAAGTGGAATTTTAATAGTGGCACTGTAGCCGAATTAATAAATGGTTGAAAATCCCCAGCAGTGTTCTTTATACTGTGCAGAACATAAAGAGAAGTTTGGGAATGTAGATCACTGTGGTTAATGTTTCTCCATATTAGAAACAGTGGACACGATCGAGACAAAAGACCACAGAATCTTTCACATAGAGGCACACGGTGTTCTGGGTCATCTGATCATCAAGATGTTTGTGCGTCGATGTTTATAATCTTGTGGTGCCAAAGATGACCGTCTACATCTGAGGTCGACTACCAGCCCCTGGGTTTTGCCCAGAGCGGCCTCCTGTTTCAGCATGTTTATCTTCCAACTATATATTCCTGCTCTGAAGATGAAACCCTTTGAGTCGGCTTGGCGCGTGACTTGTATGTGTGTCATCTCGGCCTCCTCTTTGCAAACGTTAAATGTCCTGTTTTGATGATTTTACACCAGTGTGTCGAGTAATAGTTTTTCTGACAGAAATAAATAGAAAATCAGCCAGGATTGACAGATTTGGAAATGCGTTGTTTATTACTAACTGTTTAATGATTTACAATCCGCTTGTCAGACAGAACGTTGTAGGAGCTGAGAGAAAACGTCTTTTACTCGCTTGTAGTATATTTGCTCTTTTTCTTTTTTGAACACTAGATAGATATCGTTCAGTACTAAAATGTATTCTAGATGCACTTTTCAGTAATAATGCTTTTTCCTTCTCTTCCAGCTGTCTGGGGAACATATACAAACATGAGGTACAGTAATTACGTTAGTTAATTAACTTACTCTTAAATATGAAATATTTGCCAAAAAACTTGGTAACACCAGCTTTGTAGGACAACTCTCCTCTCAATGAGTCATAATTTATGGGATGAGTGGATATTCCAATGAGGGTTATTTAATGTACATGATGAATGTTATCTTGAGCCACTCCACTCCTTGATGTTGTGTAAATTGGACTCAGTTATTGAGAATTTGTGGTGCCATGTAGGGCTTGACAATTGTTCTTTACCGTGCCAAATTCGTTCCACTGTTTGAAATCAGGTCATATATATATATATATATATATATATATATATATATATACACATATTGTCTTTTCTGTCTTTGTGAAAGTAGCTGCCGTCCTCTTATCCTCTTAATCTTATTCTCATTTTAGATCAATACAAGAACACGGAGAAATGAAGATTGAGCAGAGAATTGATGAAGTAAGTTCAACATGCTGCTGAACCTTTTTTTTGCACATGGTGCTACAAAGGATTAATGCTCTTCGAGACGAGCCCCCGGGAGTCCAATCTATAAATTACATTATTTTTACTGCCGTTAAGAGATGTTTATCTGGTGAATGACAACTTTGATATATGCACATGTGATGATGAGGACATTAACACACGTTACATTCCTTTCAAATGATAGCAGATAAATGCATTGAGGCAGAGTAGTTTATTTCCTCTCATCACTCAAACAGAATGAATATACGCTGGTTTTTCATATTAGTTCCATACACACAAATGCATGTAAATCGAGGCGCAAACCTTCCATTAACAAAGGTGATGAGCATCGGCGAAGAGAAGAAACAGGCTTCACAGCTTTGTCCATCCAGCATGTTTTGTATCTTTGTCGACTATTCCCTGGCATTAAAACAAAATAAAAAAACAATTTATAGATAGAATATTATAGATTATATTATAGAATATAGAATATTTGATCATCAGATGGTTTAGTTTATATGCTGTAAATCTGGAATCCATTCCGTATTATATTTACTTTATATGTTTAAAGTTTTCAGGTTTGTCTTATTTTTTATTTTTAAATATATTTTCTACACACATGTAAATAATTATATAATATAAAACATAAGTTTAACACAACATTCAGTCCAAAAACATAAATGTGGGCACTCAAATGACCATCTGTGGGTCCCAGCGAGTCACTGCATTGAACACGTATCGACATCACAAAGCCTCGTACGATAAACTGCAGGGTCAATTTAATCTGAACCAAGCGTTCGCTCGCGCCTCACGTATTCCTCTTTTCCCCGCTCTCTTTAGGCCGTGGCTCCTCTCAGAGAGAAGATTCGGGATCTGGAACAAAGGTAAATGGACTGTACTTGTGTAGCCAACAATTCTGCTGAAAGTAATTTTCAGTACCAGCTTCACAATGGTCGGAATCTAGAAAGAAACATTTGGAGTCGGCAAAACTGACTGCGCGTTCCATTAGGCCTCCTTCCAAATCCACTCACCTCAAGGTCTCATTATGAATGTAAGCCTTTGCCCAAGCAGGTAGGTGGACATCTCCATAGCATGAATGTTTGGACGGGCTTATTACACATTTATTTCCTTTTTTTGTACTGAACTTTTAGTTCATTGATCGCCAACAGAATGTTATGAGAATCTCTACCAAAACCACATTCCTTTTAAAGATTACAAACCGTATGTTTATTTATTTCAATTTTCTTCTCCCAAACATATCATTTTCTTTCAAAGATAAACGTATATACCCAGAATGTGATTATTCCAGCCACATGACTAAATGAAATGCTCCTTTGAACATCCATCAGTTCAGTGTCAGTCCATGGGAGAGCAGCAAGCTGTGCTGCTTTTGTAGCTTTCCTACCTAGTTTCCAGATGTTTAATAATGTAATACTAGTGGTGGGACTTCAGCACAGCAGGCCGGCATAATTGAAGTCACATTTAATGCCTTGAATGCTAATGAGAAAAAAATAGTTGAGATTGTGTCCAATGCACCTGTGTGGTGCTTTCCTTCAAGCTGCCATATACTGCACATTACAAGAGCCTTTAAAAACAGCATTGATGTGGCATGAATGTGTGAATGCTAATTTGGTTAAATAAACGAGTTTGCTTGATTACAATGTTTTGGCCAGCGTTTTAGACATCAGGTGTAACAACCTTCTGCTTTCAGAAATAACAGCGGAGGTCTTGAAATTCATTGTTTCACTGTAGTTAAAACAAACAAAAATATATTAATGATAATAAATAGAAATATTTAATGAAAAACATAATTGAAAAAGTCGTGCCATATAAATGTTAAAGAAAGAGACTGTACAGCTTCATTGCTTCCTCCATAAGCAATTCACTTTAATTATGAGGGCAGAGCTTTCAGAATAATGCAATAAAGCCATTTAATGTATCATTTAAGAACTGGATTTACATTAAAAATTATGGAAATTGTTCTCTTCAGCTTCTTTCTCATGGTGTTTCATTTTGTCTTTGTCTTCTCTCTTTAGTTTTTCTCAGAAATACCCACCAGTGAAATTCCTGTCAGAAAAGGATCGGAAGAGGATTTTGGTATGCGACAAACACCGTTTCAGACGACGGTCACATTCACGATAACTATTATACTTGGGACGTAACTGGGACTTGAGTGCCTTCAGCCGCACTGTTTCACAGGCTATTTGCAGACTGAAAGTACAACCTCAGCTCTGATTGTGGCTAATCTCTAAGAGTAGACCCAAACAATTTGATTAGAGGAAGTTAGAGGAAGGAAATCCTAAAACACAGTGCTGCTTGAGGAGTTCACTTCTGGCTCAGAAAGTCCTGCTGATGTCCTTTATTCATTGTCCCAGAATGATGAATTCTGCTGAATTTGTAGACCCCGTTGACGTACACCACCATATAGTTGACCATCTTGGGATTGATGTGAAATGATTTAGGAACTATTGAAAAGGGTAGATCCACATTTTAATATTTCCGATACTTCTACTACTACTACTTTTCTTTAAGTTTATGACTAAATACCTGCAAACCTACTGATGACGTCAGAGGTCTCGGCTGACTCTTATTTGTTTGCTGTTCGTAATATAAACACGTGTTTTCTTTCCACCAGATCACTGGTGGTGCTGGTTTTGTGGGTTCCCACCTGACTGACAAGCTGATGATGGATGGCCACGAGGTGACCGTGGTGGACAACTTCTTCACTGGAAGGAAAAGGAATGTGGAGCACTGGATTGGCCACGAAAACTTTGAGCTCATTAATCACGATGTGGTGGAGCCTCTCTATATCGAGGGTGAGCAAGACAGTAACTTTGGGGGGGTAGATGCATCTTTTGTATTCAAGTCTTGACCAAATTTTCCAAAGCAAACTAAGTGTGTTCAAATTGTGAAGGAGCAAGGCAAGGGTGGGCTCACGATTCCTTCTAGACATAATAATTCTACTATAATGATAACGTCTCCTGCAGTAACGTTGGATAGATGTGCAATGGTATTGTAACACGTGGTAGGAAAGTAGCAAAGAACCTGGATTCACAAATGTTACACTTGCTGTTAAATTGTGCTTCCTGCCAGGGACTACTACTATATGGACTGAAAACCCTGGTGTCATGTTTCTGGCAGACGGGAAGAACGACTCAATCTGTCCGAAAGAACATTGAGCAATGAAATTTATCGGAACTATGGATTGTGATCAGAAATCAAATTAGCACAGGTGACATGCAGGCATTTCAGCTCTTTTTATGTTTGCTGCTGTTCAGATGAGTGAGTCCCAGTGTGCTTTCCACTTCACTTAGTTTATTCAGCGTGTCTGCAGCTACAAGGGTAGACATAACCCAACAAAGGCATCTCTGTGGAGTGAAATGTTTATTTTTATGTGCTGTGTTTAATGGCACACACAAATGATCAACACCATATAAACTACCACAATGGAGTCTTTAGAGCACACAAATCTGCCAGATATGCCTTAAAAAACACTGCTGGGGAGTTTTAATGAGTGAAACCTCCTTTCTAGACTCTTAAGTCTACCAGTTTTTCTCGCATGATGGATACGCTCTCATTTTAATATATGCAGATGTCGGCCCCAGCTCTGTGCAGGCCGTGCATCAGCGCCGCTTCTCTGCCGTAACCACGACAAGTGCTCGTAAACGAGCTCCTGTTTACTCCGGCAGTTGGTGGGAAGTTGTCTGATGAGACAGAAACTACCTTTTCACTCACCGAGCTGTTTGCCAGTTTGCAGTTGATAGCAAAATAAAATGCTGAAATACTTTCAGATAATGATAGACAGAAATTTACAGAGGTAATATAAGGTATCTGCCAGCTGTAATTGGTTGTTCCTCGTCACATGACATGCTACACCAGCTTTCCAAAAGTTAAATGAACAACGAGGTGGATAAATGGACAGAACTGGAATCTATATTCATAACTGTGACCAGTGGATAATGACCTGACATTAAGTGTTGTGCTTAGACAAGTTAGATTACCGTGTTCATTTTTAAGTTTCTAATGGTGGGGATGGGTTTCAGAAGTCAGTATTAAACAGCCCCTGGTGCTAAATGGATGAGTATTGACGAGCAATAGAATAATATAAATCACGGACAGTGCTAGCGGTTCTGCAATTATACATATATCTATGTTATGTGTGTCTGACACATCAAATGTATTCACTGATGACATCATGCGTTTCGCATGCAGCTACGTGGCGGCGCACACGGCCGTGCTAAAGACAGAGCAGCAGCAGTGATAAATCCTAATTACGCATTGTAACCACACACAGTAACCACAATACAAGCCGTGTAAATCCATTATATTGAACACAACAGCATAGCATACATCTCATTGCTGTTTTCTCCCTCTGAATTATCATTGAGTGAATTCATGTGAAGTTATCGAGTGAACGTTGAAATGGGCGAAGAGGACATTTTTGTCGGGTTTTCAGTTTGATTCATTTAAAACCATCTTTTGTAAGAGTTCTTCCAAGCCACCTTAAAGTGAGTTGGCACATTACTGACCTCAGTGTTCTATTCACATATTTTGTACATAAATGGAAAAAGACTAACAGAACTAACAAAGGACACCTGGAGACTTCCTACTCCTACTCGTCCTTCTCCTCTTAGTTAATGTATTACAATGAAGAGAGAAATGATCAAAAAGAGAATAAAACAATAATTGAAAGTTAAAATGTTTTGAGTCATGGATCAAGAGGTCCAGGACGCTACAGCGGACCACCTACAGGTTTTAACATTTGTATTGACAAGAGAAGAAAGGCCTGAGTGGTCGAGGAAATGTGTAGATAATGAGAAGTGTGGCAGAACACAGTCAGAGATGGCCGTGGGTGGAAAAAGCTGAAATTACAAGGCAAAAAGACTTTCTTGTACAATAAAAGCACACAGTTAATGTCTGGCCCCTATTTTTTTAGCCCTAAGTCCTTTTTCACACCACATTCTTTCATATATACAATCAGCCTTATGTTTGCCATTGTCGTCAGAACGCCGAAGCCGACGATGTGGCCCTTGACACAAACCCTTTTTGTCTGACTCATTGTCTCCTTCGGGCTATTAGTGCATTCTTTAGTGAAAAGGTACAGCTGGCTATTAGTGAAAGCTTTAAGGTCAAAATAACAAAAAGGCTGCAGCCAACTGAGGAAAATAACTCTGGTGTCCTTTATGAAGAGAGTTGATTTTCTTTTCTCTTCACAGTGGACCAGATCTACCACCTGGCGTCTCCAGCCTCACCACCCAACTACATGTACAATCCCATCAAAACACTCAAGACCAACACCATTGGCACTCTTAACATGCTTGGTGAGTGATGTTTTTACCAAAAACAGTATTTCAATTTCTGATCTAAAAAATATTACACTTTAGGAAAGGAATTTGTGAAGCTTCAGTTCTGTGGTAGAGTTCATACTGTGGTTATTTTCTTTCGGACTATTAAAACTTGGCAACAGAATCCCGTATTCAATAAAGATAAAAGAAATAAGATTGATCATGAGAAGCGCAAACTGGCATTGCTCAAATTGACAATAGTGTCATTTGAGGAGGCATTTTAGATTTTCTCTTTTCGATTACTACTTTGTTCAAATGCAGTATTCGTACAAGCACTAAATGGATTTGAGCCAAAATGTTTTATTACATTTTAAGACATTCTTGTAATCCGTCTCTTTTGTTGGAGGAAATCACCTCTTCTGATCAGTGTGGGAACTTCTGTACTACTTCTGTGCTACTTCTAGTAGTTTACAGTATGTATAACACACACATGAGCGATGACAACGTATACGCTTGTATACCTAATGTGTGTTTCATTAAGCTTCCTGCTCACGCTGCTGCTTCAAAACGTCATCCCACATGTCCATATTCTCCGAGGGGTCCTAGCATTTCAGAAGACCAAAAATGAACATACGATACTACAGTTGCAATCAAAATTATTCAACACCCCATTGCACATTAGGTTTATTGGCAAAATATACAATTTCTCAGCTGTTTGCAATAAGCAAATTACACAATAATTGTTCAAGTAGTTTAATGAAACTAATATTACAAAGATTTTATCCAAATTTAACACAAAATGCTACTTTTAATGATTAATGAATTTACCGCAGTCTCAAAATTATTCAACCCCTTTGTGACAAGCATCTTCAGTACTTGGTAGAGCACCCTTTGAAATGATTCAACTCCCTGTATCAACTTTCATGACCTGATAATACACCTGATAATACATCAAGGGCTTCATTAGTTCAGGTGTGCTTGAGATAGAACACTTAAATACCTGGTCTGGCTCCGGGTTTGTTCAGAGTGACGTTTGATTGCATGTTAGAAATATGCCTAAGTCAAAAGAATTGTCCAAAGAGTTCAAAGAAGAGATCATTGCCTTGCACAAACAAGGAAAAGGATACAAAAAGATAGCAAAAGCACTGATTGTCCCTAGAAATACAGTTGGAAGCATAGTTCGCAGGTTCAAAGATGAAGGAACAGTGGCTACACTACCTGGACGTGGCAGAAAGAGGAAGCTGTCAGCGGCTGCCACCAGATTCCTGAGGAGGCAAGTGGTCAAAATCCCTCGAGTGACTGCAAAACACCTGCAGCAAGACTTGGTGGCAGCAGGCACTGAGGTTTCAGTTTGCACAGTAAGGCGCATACTAAACACTGAAGGGGTCCATGCCCGCACTCCAAGACGCACACCATTACTGACCCAAAAGCCAAAGAAAAGTCGGCTCCAACATGCTGAAAACCATATGAATAAGCCACCGAAGTTTTGGAATTCTGTTCTGTGGAGCGATGAGACAAAACTAGAACTATTCGGGCCTATGGATCAGCGCTATGTCTGGAGGAAGAAGAATGAAGCATATGCTGAAAAGAACACCCTGCCTACAGTGAAGCATGGCGGTGGCTCAGTGATGCTCCGGGGCTGCTTTGCTGCCTCTGGCACTGGAAACCTGCAGTGTGTGGAGGGCTCGATGGATTCAGTCAAATATTAGGAAATCTTAGGAAAAAACGGCATACCGTCTGTGATGAAGCTGAAACTTGGGCGTCATTGGACCTTCCAACAGGACAATGATCCCAAGCAAACCTCAAAGTCCACCAAGGCTTGGTTTCAGAAGAAGAAATGGAAGATTCTAGAGTGGCCGTCACAGTCGCATGACTTGAACCCCATCGAAAATCTCTGGTAGGATTTGAAGAAGGCGGTTGCAAAACGCACACCAAAGAATATTACTGAACTGGAGGCCATTGCCCATGAGGAATGGGCTAAGATTCCTCAGGAACGCTGTCAGAAGCTGGTGTCTGGCTATGCATCACGTTTGCAGCAGGTCATAACAGCAAAAGGGTGCTCTACTAAGTACTGAAGATGCTTGTCATGAAGGGGTTGAATAATTTTGAGACTGCAGTAAATTCATTAAAGTCATTAAAAGTAGCGTTTTGTGTTGAATTTGGCAAAACCTTTGTAATATTAGTTTCATTAAACTACTTAAACAATTCTTGTGTGGTTTGTTTATTGCGAACAGCTGAGAAATTGTATATTTTGCCAATAAACCTAATGTGCAATGGGGTGTTGAATCATTTTGATTGCAACTGGGAATAAAGTAATTTTTTACTTCGGATGTTTGCCGCTGCTGCTGCAAAAAAAGAGGCAGAGAGATCCGGAGAGAAGCGTTTAGCGAGTGTTCTCACTGTTTTGTTTCTCCCAAGGTTTGGCCAAACGCGTGGGCGCCAGACTGCTCCTGGCTTCCACTTCTGAAGTTTATGGAGGTAAGGAAGATGCACTCATCGTTACATATCCTAGAGCTGCAATTGCTTTTTATGTAAATTAACTCAATGGACGTCTTGAGCTAAGAAAGTTGCCGCGACCACCCACATCCCATGACATCTTTTTTTGTTTCAAAACATCTCAAAGATCTTTTTTTTTTTTTCATTTCCAGTTTTTGAAAACACTGACGCATCATGATGTGCTGAATTTTTTACTAGCGTGGCCAACAAACCTTAAATATTTAATATATTTTGAGAGACACGCTGTCTGCCACACCTTGTTCCTTTTGTCAAGTACAGGCTGCTGTTTCCTTTAGGCCAGACTATAGCATTTTTAACCATCAAATCATAGTACAGCATGTCAGTCATCCATTCTCTACTTGCTAAAATGCAGCAGACATTTCTAGGCAAACATGCAGTAAATATGTTCATATTAGTGTGTTAATCTGTGAGATAGAAAGCAAGCTATCCCACATGCAGATTGCAGGGCCTTTACATCACGAATGTTTGTGTTGCAGACCCAGAGGTTCACCCACAGAACGAGGAGTACTGGGGGCACGTGAATCCGATTGGCCCTCGTGCGTGCTACGACGAGGGGAAGCGTGTAGCCGAGACCATGTGTTACGCCTACATGAAACAGGTACCATGCCTAGAGAGAGGCCATTCATTTCTGTATGATCGATGGTCACATTGGTGAATTAAATAAGTAAAATGCTTTGGACCAACACTGCAATTCTACTCGTGTAGTCGTGAGCCAAAACTCCAAAATAGCTGAAATCCGATCAGGAAATGACTAGAAGTATTCCTTTTATGATTGATTTCTAAGATTTCTTCATATAAAATCAAATATTAAAGATTGAAAAAATTAATTTGTAAAAATTAATTTTCACGCAAATTAAATGTACTTGAAAGTGCTTTCCAAGCAAATGCCGAACATTTAAATGTTGAAAACGTCAACCGTATGAAAGAAAGGAACAGAATTACTGTGAACTCATCTATTGGTTTGTGTGTTTTAAAGGATTGAAGATTCAGCATTTTGCCATCACGGTCTCATTTTTTAAAAACCATAAACCGACGCTGAGCAACTAATAACTGAGCACTGAATGAGACGTTTTAAGAAGACCAATAAGGTTACAATTGACTTTCATGACCTGATAATACACTGTTAGGGAGATCAAACACAAGCAAGTCAAAAACTAGACACGGGCGAGGAAGCAACCTGTCACTCAAAAGGTAGCCACGCCCCAAAGGATAAGGGACCATATTTTACAAAGCTTATATGAAGGAAGACTTGAAACTAGCAATTGAGACTTTAATATATTCTAAATCATTTCGGCAATCCGAATTGTTAACATGCTATATATTTTGCATAAAATATCAAATGAACAAATAAAATTATTTTTCGTTGCACCAAATGGAAATTGCCTTCAAATTAACAATCAACCAAAAGTCACTCCTACGTTTCTTGCTTCTTGGCTTCGGGTAAGTATCGTTGTATTTAGTTTGGAGGTCAGTATGTGTCTCTGTCTCTTTGAACCGATGACCATTCAATTAGTCTTATCCGTATTAAGCTGTGATATAATTTGACAAAGCCTTTTATATCTAAAATACAGTTGATATTGTAGCTGTCAGTGAACCCTTCCGTTATGGTATTATTACCTTTTTTGTTCTTTGATCTCTACAATCTCATCAATAAGGAAATCGCTTATTTTATCACTATAATGAAAATAAGATGACCGTGAAGCGTATTATGTGTACGCGTGTATTTTGAGGACATAGCGGCGTATCCGTAAACAAATATCAGTTCATCTTTTCTCATTGGCACATGACTTTCATTGGCACAAGTTTTCATATGTATGTTTACTCAAAATCCGGATGATGTAGAGACCATTTTTCCCCCTGTTGCGTCTTGATTGACGCCAGCCTTTGGTGATCAGATATGATTGACTCTTCTTGCCTTTCCCTCAGGCAGGTGGTATTTATTTATCTGCCTCGTCTGCCGCTCCTCCTCGACTACTCATTATTTCTTTCACACCTACTGGGAGAATTCTTGGAAATGGGCGGCTTTCAATGTTCAGATGACAGTTTTTGGTTCACAGGGACGAGACTATCACTCATTTCATCTTTGGTCAAGTTATGTTGTGAAAATTGATTAACATTTAACATAAGTGAGTGGAGGAAACCACATGTTTCCTGTTCATCAGACGGAAGGCCAACTTCTAAAAATGGGAAATTGTCGGTTGGTTTATTTTTAGTTGTTTTTAGACATGTGAGCAAAGTTTTAATATGGACACTGCAGTTATGTACAGTGGTTTGTGTGATTTAGGGGCCTACTGCGCAACTTTATTAGAATAAGTTAGGTAACATATAGGGATGAGGATCTTTTGGATCAGGTAAATTAACCAAGGTCAACTAATATTCTTATTTTGGACAAAAAGTGTAGAATATATCTGAAAGTCCTATTACTGATTCATTACAATTAAACTATATAACTATATATTGTATAACTATACAAGACTATGCGAGCAATTAACATTTTTGTGCCATAATGTCACCCTCTAACTAGTTATAAAAGAAGGTGCAGATGTTGTTGCCACAATTAAGCATGAAAGGGACTGTGTTTGCGTGAATGTACATTTTATACCCACAAGCCTCCCCATCAATCAAATCAATAGGAGCCTGATGATAAATATAAACGTGCATTTTCAGATGAGTGCTCGTATCCTGCCAAGAGCAGAGTCGTCAGTGTTTGACAAATATTAGCAAACTGATCAATGACACATCGCGTGGAGAATTCCCTTGTCAGGTGTCGCCCTCATTAGACGGGCAACATGAGAAAACACGCCGGTGGCGCCAACTTGATGTTAGTTCAGGAAACGTTAAGCCGCGTGGATTTTAGAAGATGAAAACCAGTTGATTCATGGGATTTTAGTGATGGACTTGTTTTAGAGTTCTGTTTGGTATAGTTCATGACTGAATTTAAAGCTAACACATATACTAGATAATACTTCGTTTGTATGTATCTCACATATACGTGTTGTGGCCATGACATTTCATGATCCACATTTTCAAGAGAACAATCTACATAACGTTCATGTTTTTATTCATGTTTTAAGATCTAAGATGGATTAATATCTCATCTGAGGAAGCGTGTATTGATGCATGAGGCTGGATTATGAAGGCCATAGAGGAGATCCTATTGTCATACTCGCCTGGTATTCAGACTAGCCAGAGTAGCATGTGATTCACATTATTATTATTATTATTATTGTACTTTCTAAATGTTAAATCAGTTTCATTGACAGATAATTTGCCCTTTGAATCCGGCCGTTAAGTCAGAGAAACATTCCCTCGCCATAGTCGAGGTTTTAGTCCATAAATGAAAGAAAGAAGTATGTGATTTAATGTAAAGTGCCCCGTCTATTACAGTGTGCACTCAGTCTTGTGAATATTTGTGTTGTTAATACTTTGCTGTGTATTCAGCTTGCTAATGGTGGCCGTATTAGTATTCTACCTCTACTAGCTGTGATTATATTCCATGTAAAAAAGAAAACCGTGTATAAAGCACAGAAATCAAAACAGAGATCAATATCAAAACCAGGGAACAACAGACTGGATTCATGACTAGTGATTCACTCACATTTTTGTTTCTCTGCTTCCAGGAAGGAGTGGAGGTGAGAGTGGCCAGAATCTTCAACACGTTTGGCTCCCGAATGCACATGAACGACGGACGAGTCGTCAGCAACTTCATCCTGCAGGCGCTGCAGGGAGAACCTCTCACCGTACGCATATACCATTTCTGCACATTCATTAGGCGCCTCAGGACTTCTGGTGTGAGGATTCATACACTGAAACAGCCTCAGTGTGATGATCGATTTGTTTCTGTTGTGTGCATCTTAAACGATGTTGAAGTGAACGAAAAAGCCCCCCAGTCTTCCTCATCAAACATGATTCTAACTGAAAAGTCAGACGTGTCCTTGCTTCTGATCTGTGTTTGTTTAGTGTTACGGGTTGAATGGGCAGTTGAAATATGGTTCAATAGCAAATCATTTTGAAGCAACTGAAAATACAATTATTAGGAATGTTGGAAATAATCCAGTACACTTGATTGTGAAGAAGAACATCGCTTTATGCAACACATATCCTTCAGTGTCCGCATTGTGCAGAAATGATAATCATCTGTTGTTGTTCTAGGTGTACGGTTCTGGTGCCCAAACAAGAGCCTTTCAATACGTAAGGTGAGACTGCTTACTTTCACATATTTCTTTTTTTCCCCCTGCAGCACATCAATTTCTCTTTGATTTTTACCTCAGTCTTGGTCATGGAGGAGTTATTACTCTCCATCCACTTATAGCAAGACAATATGAAACTGTAATTCAAAATAAATCAGTTAATATTATACCGAAATTATAGCAATTAAAAGTTGCCAATTATCTGGTATATTTAGTGTTGTTTGTTATTTTTCTCTCCTCTCAGATGTTATTATTTTTCTGTTTAGGTGTTTAAAATATATCAAATGTTTGTATGGCTGCTGATGTTCACGCAGACCAGTGTAACAAGACGGAGGAGTAAAAGAAATTGGACTTTGAAGCTTGTTATTAATGATCAATTTCTCTGCGTCCCTCTGCCAGAAAGCAATAACTGGCAGGTTAAAGGGGTATTTTTGCTCCGTGCGGAGGTGATAGATTAATATTATCAGTTTGGAAAAGAGAAATCAGAGACTGGCCTCAATCCCTTTGAACCACAAACTCGCCGCCATGTATGACTTTGGTATCATGTGAACAGCGAAATGCCAAGGCCGAGCTGAAATGAATCATTACTAACGGCCTTTTTAATCACAAAAATGCATCATACATTCACTGAACTCGGGCTTAATTGAAAAACGAATGCATCAGAATCTTAAGGCCGCAATCTCTGAGAATACACATGCAATGTGTGATATGAAACCTCGATTATGATTGAATGTTTCTATCTATCACGGGGGGGCATGCAGGAGGGAGGGAGAAATAGCACATTGGTTGTCTTAATCATCGGGCAGTGTGTGCACAGTGACACATGGGGAGCAGAGCTATGGGAGCTGAGAGCGTTAGTCAGTTATGGGGGGTGTGAGGAAGATGAGGTGCAGTGAAGGAGTTTCAAAGAAACTGCTTGAATATCATCTCGAAATGCGACAATTGAAGTTGTTGCCGTGGCGACCTGGGAAACGGTGATTTGTTGTACGGATCTTTCGCTCTTTCAGTTTCGGCCTACGAGAGAATGCAACAATTTGCTCCATTACTATAATAAGGTGTCACGCTCTGTGAAATCCGTTGCGTACAATAAGCATCAGACAAGCGCAGTGAAACGTAATCGAGGGCGATGCATTTGAAGACTCTGCTTCTGTGTGTGTGAACCAGTGACCTGGTGAATGGCCTCGTGTTGCTGATGAACAGTAACATCAGCAGTCCAGTCAACCTGGTGAGTTCATCAAACCCTGCCAGTTCTCTCAAAATTAGGTTTGAATTGAAAATGACACTGAGAGTGTGTGTGGCCTGTCTGCAGGGGAACCCGGAGGAACACACCATCTTGGAGTTTGCTCGTCTCATCAAAAGTCTCGTCGGTAAGGCGTCCATTCATTCATTCATTCATTCAAGATGGCGTCCATTCTGCAGCCTCCGTCCCCGCTCACTTACCTCTTTGTATCTTAAAGGCACATTTTTAAATCAGTAACACACATTTCCCTGTGATTCTGAAGTGCTTATCCTTGCTGATTGGTCAGAGTAGACATTTTTTCCCTTTCATCCAATATAACAGCAATCACCTCAGAGAAAAAGGTACGCAAGGAATAACTCAGCAATGTCTGTGTCCCAGGTTTCCATTGGAAAAGGCTTTTCTAAATTCCCAAATAAAATCTAGCTGAAATACAGAACTAGAAGATTTTTTTAGTCGTTTCCATTCACAGTATGTTGTTATTCACTATGAATAATCTCTAGTGTAATGAGGGGAATAAGCAAGCAGCCTGCTCACCACTGTGCTGATTTAATGTGGTTCATCTCTCACACACAATATTTGATTTATATTATTTGATACATGCAAACTCTCTCTCTCACTCACTCTCACACACACAGTGAGCCGAAGTCAGATCCAGTTCCTTCCAGAGGCCCAGGACGACCCACAGAGAAGACGACCTGATATTCGAAAAGCCAAGATGCTGCTCGGCTGGGAGCCGGTGGTACGTGTGATACGCGGCCGATGCACACGCAATGACCGTGAAACGCAGCTTATTACTTCATAATGCACAAGAAATACTATTGGTGTACTAGACGAGGAGTGTTGTTGTTGTTTGAACTCGGTGGCAGCACCTTTATGCGTTGTGCGTTGTGTGGACAGGTGCCCCTGGAGGAGGGCCTGAACAAAACGATCCAGTACTTCAGCCGGGAACTCGAGCACCAGGCCAACAACCAGTACATCCCCAAACCGAAGGCCGCCCGCATGAAGAAAGGACGACCCAGACACAACTGAGGTCGGGGTTTTTTTTTCCACCGCTCACTCTCCCGAAACACGGAAGGATGATCAGACTCCTCGGAGGAGCCTTGCAGAGCAGCTCTGTGACGTGCGCTGCTGAGTGGAGCACTCTTGGCTGTGAGGTCGCTTATTTCCTGTTTGAAGCAGAGACACTTTCTCTTGAAGTGTTGTGTTGGCGCTGCACTGCGGGAAAAGGACTTTCCATACCGGAGCTTTCGCGTTGGATGGACAGACTTGAATCTAAAGATAAATATATGAGGCAAGAAATCCTACCATTTCTTTTTCGTTGTGAAATTGTGCTTTTGTTATTTAAATGACAGATGTGAGAATGTGGGAAACGGCTCACACTGCATCAGTGCTTTTTGTTTTATTTTTTAAATCAGTTTCAGGGTCTTTTGTCTCCAGAGATTTAGAGACTTTGTTTTTCCACTGGATGTTTCTTGGCGTCAGCCAGGCCGTTAATGTCAACATTACATGTTTGTCAGAATGTCATCCTGTTCTGATTGGTGAAAACTCATGCCAGGATGTGCGTTATCAATATAAGATGCTATTTTAATAAAATATTTCAAATATGATGTACCCAAGGAAGGCGATATGTGGGTGGCGGGATACATTTCTACGCGTGTCTAGTGGAAGTGAAAAGGCGGGGGACTCGCAGTATGAAGCCACGCCTTTATTTGCGATGATGTAGTGAAAAGAGACGAGTTAAGCCACAGACGTGAACAGTTTTACACACAAATCAGCTCCCTCAAAACGTACATAACACATCGTGTTTTCACTGTCAGTGAACATCGCCGCTGCTCGATGGCTAATTTGAGATAATTGGTTATACTGGCAGAGCAGCTGCGGCGTTACGAGGGTGTCGCCCCCCCCCCCCTCCCCTCCTGCGCGGCTCTTGTTAAACTGACACATCACAGTCAGTAGTAGTCGTAGTTGACATCGGCGCCGTGCCTGTAGGAACTCTGGTCCCGCGGGCCGATGGGGGCGTTTTCATCGTATTGGTGTTGACGACCTTGGTCTCTGGAGCGAGCTTGGTCCATCCAGTACGACAGGTCGGTCTCCAGCCTCTGGGGGGTGGGGGGGACACAACACAACACAGATGAGACTCGCTAGACTTCTCAGGCTCAACACATCTGACACTAATGAGACTTGAGGCAGCTGATGAGGTGTCCAACAAAGGCACAGCTGTGGCAAGAAGATGTGCAGAGAAGCAGGAAGAAGAAGAAGAAGAAGAAGAAGAAGAAGCAGCTTTCAGGGCTCAACATGGCACACGCACACCAATAAGGGGTCGCGGATGGGGCTGTGTGAGAATCATCAAGACAATGCCGCCCTCCTCACCCCTTGTTATCGGCCCCCTTCACCCCTTGATGTCCCTGGTGAATTCCACATGATAGACGCTGACCTGAAAGCAAACTGAAACTGTCTCTAAGTGGGGCTGTGAGGGGGGGAGTTTGGGTTGTTGCAATGCCGTTTGAATTGAATTGATTGGACAACATTGTCGGGATAATTGGGCCTTTTGAAAATATCATCGTTCACACTTCAAGAGATGATTACAGTTCACACCGGCCGAATACGGATTTGTCATCCACATGTCCGATCAAGATTACTACATTTTCTCTGCTTCATCTGTTTCTGCCTGGAAAATGTGTTTGGCCGGGTTTAAGGAGTTAAAAACGGCTTCAGCAGATTGGGTGCGGTTTGACAAGTGTCAACACGCCTTATTAAGAAACATTGAGTTTTCGCTTGTGGCACCATAAAGAATCCTGGATTCTTTGACGCATCTCTCCACCTGCAGCCTGAGCGCCTGAAAGCAGCGAGAAGATCACACAGAAAACGGCACAGACCGACGTATGAAATAACACGTGTTTCACCATTTACTCATTTATTACAGCTTGAAACAGTAAGGAAAATGTTTCCGTTGCTTTCATTCAGTTTATTGGCGCACTTCTATCACCACCTTACCTCAGGAACAAGGTGTTCACGTCTTAGAAATCTGCCTGCTGCTTTGTTTCTGTCTCAACAAACCACCCCAAGTGTTTCTGCTGTGTGTGTGTGTGTGTGTGTTTTGTTCTCCCCCAAACTCCTGCGTAAAGGGTTGGTAATCTCCGAGGGGGGTCTCGCTCCCCCGAGAGCTCCACAACCCACCTGCTCATCAAATCCCATGGACATAAACTGAGCGATCCACTGCTGCACGTCTGGTCTGCTGCGATCCCAAAGGTTCCTCTTGGTCCTGCTCACCTTTCCCAGGAACGCCAGGGCTTTGGAAGAGGGGACGGCCACGGAGGCCCTGGAGGGGGCAGAAGCAGCTCCTGCCACTGGAGGGAAGATCAATCACACACAAGCACCAAAGGGCATTTCCCAAAATAGCGTTTAGTGGAGTTTGATATTTGCATCGGTACAATAACAATGTTAAGTGCAAATGTTACCATCTCTTTTCTTTAGGATCCTGAGCAGGCTGCTGTTACTGGAAACGTCTAAGAAGGACAGTCAGCAGAACTAATGAGTGCGGCACAATTCGGGTGAGTTGGACCGTTGATCAATAATACAAGCCGACGTTTCACAAACTTCACTCACGATGTTTGTATTCAGTGTCTGAAGATGGTTCATCAAAGCTCTCATTCTGCGATTAATCTGGCTGCTGTGCAGCAAATGTTCTGATTATTCTCGGTAGTTCTATACTTCACTTTTCCATTAACCAGATTCACGGATGGATTTCATTTTGCGTCGTTTAATCAGAAGTTGTCTAAACGTAAATTCAATGGATAAGAGGTGAATGAATGCAATTGGCATCCTTGCTACCTCCGCCGCGCATGTTTAGTTCAAAAAACATAATAGTGTAATTTAGGCAATAATAGACAGTGTTCACTGTGATTAACGCCCGCATTAAAGATCAGCAAAGCATTTTAAATGTGGTTCTTCCAAAATTGAGCAGCAGAAATGCAAATTTTAGTGATTTGAAATGAATCTGGATAAAACTACAGACACGGTGCTTTTAAATCCCATCTTTTGAGCTCTAAATGAGTTCATATTATCCCTTGACTGTTTTTTCATTTTCTTTGTGAGCATGTTTATGAGCATTCTCTCGTACAACCGTCAAGTCAAGGATCTTTTTCAACGGAACAAAAACCCAAAGCAGAAGAAAACAGGGGGGTTGAGCTCACCTCTAAAAGCCATGAAAGTCAGCATCACAGCCAGCCCCAAAAACCTCAAACAGAGCCGCTGGGAGGCCATCGTGCGTCCGCTCAGCGTCCTTACGGAGCAACGACTGCTCATAAAACTGCTGCCCAGCCAAGCGGCGAGAGGGCGGCGACTCCCAGTTTCCAAGTGGAAACTTGCCTACGAGGCTGGAATGTCGTCCACCTCCTCGCCGGCACACTGCAGCGTGGCGGATTCTTTCCGCTCCTAAATGAATTTTCGTGCGTGCGTGCGTGCGTGCGCGCGCGCGCGGCCGTACACCAGCAGCTTGGAAAGGAAGGAAAAGCAGGAAACTCCTACGCACCTGGATGTGGTTTGTCTGTGGAAAGATGCACGATTGGCATTTATCCGCCTCACGAACTCTGCATCTGTAATATGTTGCAGGAGTCTGAGCGGTTTATTATTTATCACTGACGTCACACTGAAGTAACTGAGGTGTAATCTGGACAGTGGATGGATTCATTTCAACATTAAATCAGGCCAAGCTCTTGTGTAAAATGGCAATAATTCCCCCGACTAATGTATGTATGGGAGGCTGAGAGAGCGTTGGGTGAGGAAGAGGGGGGGAGTTGTGGGGGGGGGTCTCCATACCAGCCGAGAATACTAAAGAGGTTTTCTTTCTCTGAGGCCACTTCTTTAGTGACGCTGCAGATGAAGCGGAATGCAGAGTGGCTTTTAAAAAATGATTTTACACTAATCCTCCCTGTGGGTTATGAATTAATAACCTTTAGCCCGGATGGATGCCACTGTTATCCACCTCCTGCTGTGCAAAAGCCAACTGACTAAGCGCACGCTTCATCGGGCCCTGATGCCTTTGATCCCCATTAAGCACTGGGCCACTGTAACAAAGGAGCTACTGGTGGTACTGGAACCCAGTGCGCGTGCACCCGGTCACTCCACTGAGCAACTCGCTGTTTTAGTTCTCATGGATTTAACTTTGTCTTATAACGTTGCTTCAATGACGCCGCGTCTCATCAAAGCAGCTGCACGTCAGCTTGTGTTGAGGAACTCACTCGAACACGTGGAAGCGGTTGGTCTGGAGCGGCGGTCCGTGTCCCTCGCAGGCCGAGCTGGAATGCAGGAAAGCGAGAAGCTGGCCGGCGGCTGCACTTCTTCCAGGGTGGATTCGGAACGAAGCTGACGTGAGCCACATGACAAAAGGCCGAGGAGAGGAAGGAGGTGGAAGGCAGAAGAACGCGTGAGTGGATGAACACGCGTGTCCTTATTTCAATGATGAGCCTTTCACAAAAGTGGCAACATCTTCTCAATAGCCTTTTTCTTTTTTCTTCTACAGCTCTCACTCTTCGAGCAGAATTCAGACACAAACCATAAATGTGCATGAAGAACCTCTTCAGAATGTGTAGGACACGATTCTCCTTAAAGCCGAATGCAATATGCTCAGGAGAACATTTGCTGTAGAAAAATAAAAAATCCAGGTGTCAATAACATCTTCATCAAATATCATCTTTGTTGTTGCCTCCCTGGATCAGTGAGGGATTAGAGGGAGATTAGCTCGTGGTCCTGTCCCACCTTCCGTCTGTCTCACACTGATCTCAGGAAGATGATTGCTTCTAGTTTGGAAGTAGACGGGAAGGCGGATGTGTTTGTCTTTCACATATTCCCACCTTAACCTGAATCTCTCCAGAGTACTTCAGCGAGGCCTCTGTCTTCTGTCGCATCCATCAGCGTTCTATAGAGGGAGGAAACATTATATCTTCTAGTCCACAAGGTGTGAGAAATGTCCTAAAGTGTTAACACGGGTTTTTTCAGCAGGGGGATGTGAATTGAAAGGACACATCACAAAGCAGCTCATTGTGAGTGCCAGTTGTTTGGATCTTGTCAATGTGTGAAAGAGACCAAGGGCGAAAGCGGATGAAAAGAAGTTTGTACCAAGCAGTTTCCACATTGTTCATCCAGACTTTCTCATCACAAACATCGCGGAGCGTCAGCTTCCACATAAAGAGCAGACGACCTTCGCCTGTGACGCTTTAATGCACAGTCTTTACTTTTCGTAAATGCAATTTACTTAAGATATACATGTTTAAAATAGTTTACAAATGTATAGTTTAATTTCAGGAGATAGAGATGAATACACAACAGCTGGTGAGTGTGGGTTATTTTTGCCAAACGGAAGTAAATGGTGCATTTAAGCATCAAATACATTATTTAACCTTCATTAAAACCAGGAAAGTCTCACTGAAAAAGGTGCATTCACAGATACAATGTGAACTTCTGGGTATAGGAATTACATATATTTAATTTGATTATTTCATGATATTTAATCCAAACACACTGTCGGGAATTCTGTCTTCACCTGTATGTTCAGTCACAGCTCATGGCATCGAGGCTGTGGTTTGACAGTTGGTGGGTTTCAAAGATTTTTTTGGCTTTCCCCAAGTCCTTAAAGAGGAAAACAATCGCTGCGCAGAAGTCCTGCTTCAGGACAGCTTTGTCTCAGCAGGACAAAAAATACACAAAACCTCAAATCATATATCTGAAGAAAGAGGCTTTACCTGGGATTCAAGGTAGATCCAGTAATGTAAAAGAAAATACAAGATAATAACCACTAATTTCCATTAAAGTGCACGTGGGAGGCAGTCATGTGAACGCGTGTTGCTCTGGAGAACCTTTAAGAATCAGTGTCCCCTTTCAGTGTGGCTGCAGTGTTGAGTTTTCCCACTAATTTTCTTTTATTAACGCAACAGAAGCCAGTTAAATTACGTTTTATGTGCCCGTTTTGCATAGAAAGTTGTGAAACATTTTTTTTCTACTTTCATGTGCTTGTTTCTAAACTGACTTCCATGAAATAACTGTTATAAATAAATAATAAACTGAACCAGTGGAAAATAGTTGTGCTTCAACATCAAGTCAAGCTCAATACCGCCACCATGTGGACCGCGAAGGCACTGCGGCCAACGTGGGATGGTTTTGCCTGGTTACGTTTCTTTCCCTTAGTTCTTAAAAATAACTTGTTGGAAGGAGTTTAACTTTAACTAGCACTGCCTGCTGGTTTCTCTACTGCTAGTAGTTCTAGTAATGTAGACCTATTCCTTCCCTAATCTGCAGGGACTTTTTATGAAGTATTAGGATTTTGTACATAAGGCACTGGCACTTTATGTACTATACTATTTATTGTGATTAACTAATTTTCTTATCTAGCCAACTGCTGTGACTTATTTTGACTTCATATTTAAAATACAAGAACATGTTCACTTTCATACTCTACTAAATATTTGTTATACCATGCTATGTTTCACAACATAGTATAACTTACAATGTACTTTACTTTTTATTTTTCATGTCATACTGTAGCTTTTTGGAAAAACTTTTATAATACGCTATACCAGTTTTTTATAACTGGATATTTGCCTGACCCCCCTGAAGTAGTGAGCTTTATTTTGTTATATAAAAGCATTGAGCTGCATTGTGGAAATGCTGGTTATCTGGCAGAATAATAAAGACGACCGCCTATCACATCAGTATTTTTCAAAAGATTTATTGAACAAAAGTATTTAAATTGGCACCGCGTTGTCAGTACCATTGTTTGATCTCGATTCATATATGCACCTAATATTTTTTTTATATATACATACAGTGGAGACGAATTAAATAGCATTGCTCAATAACATTCAGAGATATCATATAAAAGCTGAGAACCCCATGATCAACAACACTTCCATTGGTAAACAAATGCACGAAAGAAAAGAGGAAAAGACAAGTAAAATATTTCTTCTCCGTAAATCAGATTTGTACATTTGGTTTCTTGCAGTAAAAGATGACTCCGATTGACTGTTAAGCCTAGGTCCCTTATTTTCGGTTGCAGCTTAAAATGAAGTTAATAGCAGTTCACCAGAGGACGCTGGTAGACGAGTCTTAAACATCGTGTCAAGCAGTCGAAATCCACTGTAGCTGGAAGATTTGATTAGTTAATCAATATCTTGTACACTGACATGTCGTGTCAGGGTAACAGTTGCTAAGCTGTCATTGGACAATTGCTGTCTTGACAACGCGATCAGAGGACAATTTTCACAGATCGCCAAAATGATAAAGTATTTCCAAACTGTTTGACATATAAACGGCAGTGAGTGATGTTTCGGCATTAATTGTTTGCGTCTCAGCCAAACACTTAATTGTGGGGAAAGAATCATTTATTTTTTACAATAGATTTTTCTGTGAAATGACAGCCAGAGATATACTTAAACAATACAAACGATGGGATCCTATTTTATAACGGCATTCATTCTGATTGCAAAGTGTTATCAAAATGTCTTTTCATTCCTTGAGTCAGACTCGTCACGTAGCTTCTGGACCTACAGAAAGATGCCCAGTGTGACAATATAAAGCATGAGCACAGAGCTACAGATGAACGCCATGTGTGGTGAGTGCAGTGCAGACCAGCGCTATGGGAACAGGGCGGCACATTTGGTTACGTTGAAAAACATTCATCTCTACAGAAATTCACAGGTCTCCCCTATTGCATTAATGCCCCCCCCCCTTCTCTACGGTCTTTTAGAAATATTACAGGAAGTACTGTATGCAATTTTCAATCACCACTAAGGATTGTGGAGACAAAAGAATTTGTAAAGGTGCCGGAAGACAAATTCAAAATGGGAGCAAATTATGTAACGGAATGATGAAAATTAAGAGAAAAAAAGGCAAGAGCGTGTTTCTGGTCACTTCGTAAAGTCAAATTCAAACCTACACAGGGATTTAAAAAAAGATAACCAGGGATTTCCTTTTTTAAAATGAACTAAATCTTCTGAATAAAACGATGGCCAGCGATTGGACGGGGGGGGGGGGTGGGGGCTTTTCTCCTGTGTGGGTTAAAAACAATGGTGCGACCTACAATGTGCGTGGTAGTAAACGGGCATTATGTACGACATCAGAGACAAGGCCTCAGGCGCTCCGTCTGCAGCCGGTGTGTTCGCTGCCCGTGACCAGCAGGAAGGACGGCGCCGTGCGCGGAGGATCCAGCCGCCGTCTCTCCCGGCACGCCGCTCGCCGTCTCGCGGGAGCCAGAAAAGAGTCTCATCCGATCGCCGCTGGAAGGCGACGGATAAAACTGGACGTCGTTCGTAGTTGGGGGCGGCATTAGAAGAATAAACGTGGTGTCTCGTGTGTGGGATCCAGTGTCGGTGAGTGAATCACGGCAGCGCTTTGACCAGGTACAGCTTCTCCCCGTGTTCGCTGGTGAAGATGGGGGCCTTCTTGTAGTGCTCCACCAGCTCATCGATGGAGCTGAACTTGCGCTGGCCGATACAGTACACTCCCTCCGAGTGCTGCACTTTAAAGTGCTTGTTCTTGCCGGCCGCCTTCAGAGACACTGAGAAGTCATTGGGCTGAAAATAAAGAGAGACAACGTCAATGTGGTCAGAAATAGGAAAGTGTGACAGAACTACACATCCAATGACATTTAAAGACAATCGGCTTTACTCCACCAGGGGGGAGTGTACTCTCACATTTAAACATATGGAAACAAAACACTACTCAAACATACAATATCAGCTACTTTGAGATAAACTGAAGACAAACGGGACTGTTTTGTGTCTCTGAAGGGACTCCTCCAGTGGGTTGTAAGGCCGAGGACACAGAAGCACATTGACTAAGGTGAGCACCTGGTGTCACATGTTCTGAATCACTCAAATTTAATACGTATACTTCTGAATAGGGTATTTTCTTATAAACCTCCGGCTCCATTTGAGCAGAATCTTATAGTATGTTTAGTATTTATTCTGGATTGTTTTTAACATAACTGTTGTCGGCATCATTGCGATACAACAGCCATTTTTTTGTGGAAAATGTACGGACCTTTTAGAGGAAGTGTCCATAAGCATCCAATCACTGCTTGGAAAGGTTGCTGTGACAATAAAGCATAGCCTCCATTTCCCAAAGCAGATGCCGCTCAGACTCACCGATGACTCGCTGTCTCGTACCAGGAAGTCGCCCTCCTCCCCTCGCTCGTTGAGCACGGACTCGGCCTGGTGTCTGGTGATGCCGCCGTAGTACCAGTCGCGCCCGCCGAACTTCCCCGAGCGGGCCGGCGCCAACAGGCGGTTCTGCAGGAAGCTGGCGCTGGACGGGGGCGGGCCGGGCCGCTCATCCAGCACCACCACATAGTTTTTAGGAACCAGGCCCACCATGCCGCGGGAGTTTTGACACCTCCACCACTCCGGGTCGTTCTCGGGCTTCTCCACCACCTCCATGACCTCTCCCTTCTCAAAGTTCAGCTCCTCCTCCGTCACAGAGCTGAAGGGGTAGAGCGTTTGGACCAGGTGCAGCACCGCGGCAGCGCCGCCGCCTCCTGCTCGCCCATTGGCCAACAAAGTCCCCGGCGAGCCCCCCTGGTAGACCAGCGGCGGATCTCCGTCCTCTCCTTCCTCCGCCCCACCGAGCTCCTCCAGCACGTAGTTGGAGGGGAACCAGCCCACGCGGCCGGCCTGGCCGCCCCGCCACCAGCCGTCACTGCACTTCTCCATCACGGTGACCCGGGTGCCCTTGACGAGGCTCAGCTCGTCGTCCCGCTCCGCCGCGTAGGCGAACTTCACTACGGCGGGGATGTTGAGGTCGTAGATCCTTTCAGCTGCTCCGCCCGCGCTGCCGTTGGAGGGGTACTCCGTGTCCGAGCCGGGCGTCGGGGAAGCACCTCGGGCGCTCGTCTTCCTCTTGGTTCTTCCCAGACCTGCAGCATGAAGAGAAACACAAGAGAGCCGTTAGAGAACCAGATACCTATTTGGCCTACGGTGGATTTTTAACCTGCATTAATGGACCTATTATCAGCTTATGAAGTTGATGCGGCAAACATGAGCATTCTCTTGGTAACCAGCTTCTAAGTGTGAAGACTGAAAGCAGGTTTCAGTCAGCAGAGAAAAGCTTGAGCTCCACGGGGAGAAAGAGCCGGTTTAGGTCAGCAGGAAACTAATTCAGGCTGCGTGGCACAAAAACGTCTGTAGAAATAGTGCATACAGGATATCTCAGGATACCTCAGCGGCGAAGGACAGATCGAACTCTTGATAACAGAATTAACAGACATCGCCTTGGGGGAGCGCCCTTCTCCTCCAACACAACAAAATGACAGCTTGCTATCTAGTTGGGATTCTGTCAACTGCATCTACACACCGTGTGCACATCTGCACTAATCAAAAAGGCTGAGAATAGGTGGTGAAGACAGGGAATGAAAAGTGGAGCATGTACCACGGCCTCCATACTGAAGAGCATGTGCTGCATCACCTGCCTCACCTGTCCGAAGTGTTTGCACACTCAAGTGTGGCCGTGAGTTTCTAAATACAACGGAGGCTCACGTGTGCGACTAACAGCAGACTTCTTGGCAGATAATCACCGGTTCGTCCCACCGAGCCGGCTGAAATGCCACAGAAATGTCAGAGCACAGTACAACATTTGCATTGGTTGGAAAACCGCTGGGTTCACACAGAGTGGCATGACAGTTGTTGGCAGAGAGAGCAGAGAGAGGAAGAGGAGGGAGGCTGTGAAGAAAGACGAGGGGTCCCTTGGCAGCTGTTCCTCACACAAACATTAGAACGAGCACATCAGAGGCCCCAGCTGACAAAGACGCAACGAAAAGAAGGGCGAGACGCGAATAACAAGCAGATGTTTATGGAGAGCCGTGTGCATCCCACATATCTGATGGCGGTCTGCTTCCTCCAGTGTTTCCTGACCGGGGGGGCCAAAGACTTGAGTCTTCTTCAGGTGATATCTGGGCAAAATAAAGTAGACCGTCGCTGCCTCGAAGTAACAAAGAAGCACACACACACGCACACACGCTGGAGCAAAGTGGAAACACTTAAAACGCACACACCTTTCTTCTTCACTCATTTCCACTTCAAGGCACCGGCCTGCTGTTCTCTCCTCCCACACATTCACTCCCAACCGTCACCCACCTCTTCATCTTGTGGAAGGAGACGAGATTTTCAAGCCCAGAGGACACTGAGTGAGAGGGAAGTGAGTCGATAAAAGCCTGGCAGACCGCAGGTTGCAGCATATTGCTTCACTACGTCGCTCACAGGGGGGTTATGGAAGTTACTGTAATAAAGAGTCCATACAATACGGAAAAACCCAACATATTTAAGAAGTGGTATCAAAAGCACACCCTGGCTCCTACATGAAGTCTGCAGGATGCTGTGACTTCCTGGAGTACATTGAGGGAATCACAGATATCACAGCTATGAGATCTGTGATTCACAGCTATTTGGCTCTTTTAAATACATCCAACACCGTCGCTCTCTCACTGATGACACACCGTCACTTGTTCTACGGTGTGTAAAACCGGCTCAAAGGCTTTAGGCCAGCGGCCACCAACCCGTTTGGCCCCACGGACCGTTTTCATGTTGGACCAAGTGCTCTGTGATGCCTCACATTCACTCAGGCACGCAGACCTCAAGTGGAATCTCAGGTCAGCAATCCAACTGCCCACGTCGGTGTACTGGTGAGTTCTGGCCCAGTTTCAGCAATGAGTAGAACTTTCCTGTGAAGGGAAAATGGGGCACAAACCAGCATGATGCCATTTACAATTCAATTCTGCCTGAATGAATGTCGGTGACACAACTGTGCTGAAGCACAGTAAATAGTGAGGGGAACTGGGGATACTGGTAACCACAGGCGCTCTGCAAGGTCCGTCGTCCCACTGTGTGTTTGCTGAGAGCCAGAGACTGCAGACAGGATGAAGTAATCACGCACTCGGCCAATCTGATTCCCTCTTCAACTGTGTGAGTGAGATCCATTAGGCCCTGACCTCACCTACTGCTCACCGCCTCATCAGGAAAATGTTCTTGCCTATTGGATTTGATCGTGCTTTTAACACTCGAGAGCCGGCTGGATGGAAGAAAACTACTTAGACCGAAATGGAATTAGGTTGTAACGCTGTAGTCGATGAATAACAAAGTCCGGCACACTAATCCATCACTGCAACCATCATTTCTCCACTAATCAATCTGCTGATCAGACAAAAGCAGAGACCTGCGGTGACAGAGAGTGGGGTTGATGGGGTCAGTGAGGACGTGTGTGTGTGTGTGTGTATAGACACCACAGACCCCGGGGAGGGTGACCGTGTCCGGCTGTACCACGCTGGCCCGTACAAAGCTGCAGTTTCCCTGAGGGAGCCCCCCCCCGTCCCTCATCTCCCTCCCCTCTTGCCTCCCTCTCAACTCATGTCTGCCTTTCAGGGCCATCAAGTTACCACCTTCATTACCAACATCCTGTCTTGTTAGAATTTCTGCCACATGTTTCTATTTTCTCCTGCCTCTTCACCCCCCGATGCAAGAAATGTCAACACGGGGGCTGTTTCAGCGCCGCGCTCCAGACGGCCATTTTCCTGCTAGAAGAAAGTAGAGCAAGCTGATCATTTTTCGCTCTATTCTTTTCTTTACTCGACCTACATACCACACACAGTTAGGCAGACATCTGATCATGTCGGGGCTACCTGTGCTCTCATGGGGATGAAAGGATTCAGTGGCCCAACACCGATCACGTTGTGCCTCCACCTCCCAAGACAAAGTCACAAAATGAAGTGCTTTCACATGAGACCTTTTGTCTCAGTCTTAGAGAATCAAACCAATTTCATGATTCCTGGATGACATAAATTGAGAGGTTTTAAAAGCCAGGGCTGAGGATTATTCCAGACAGCTCCAGCAAAGAGCTCCTCTGGAACAAAACAACACATTTATGTGTTCGGGTTTTTTTTAGCAATTCACCCTCAAAGGAAATCTTTTTTTGAACTTGTAACAAATCTCTTTATTACATCCTGGTCTGTTTCATTTGTGGATTATTCTCGTTTTTTCTTAATTGCATAAAAGTAGAAATAAGGCCTCCGGCTACATCCTGTGATACTTTATGCACAGACAGTGTCTCACGTGGGGCAGCTGCGGCTACGTACACAGTCTAATGTATTCCAGTCATGACTGGGGATGGAGACAATGTGCTGACAGCTGAGAGCAGCGGCCAACTCACCTCTCCAGAGTGCACAGTGACGGCTCCCAGCAGATGCAGGGAGGGGAGCATACACATACATGTATATATACACACACACATTCAAGTTTAAGCGGCGTGAACATGAATTCTTCTTACCCAGTGTGTCTTTGATGTTCTTCACCAACGAGCCTTTCTTCAGGCTGTTCTTGCGCTCCACGTAGTTGGACGGCACGTACCCCGTTTGGTTGCCGGCGTTGCGCACACGCCACCAGGTCTTTGTGTCGTCCAGGAGGTGGAGACGCTCATTTTTGCGGATGTCAAGTTCCTGGTCCTGCTGGGCCGTGTAGTCCCACTTGGCTACAACAATCACCTCCTCCGTCATCTTTCATGGAGTCCTCCTGTGGAGGAGACGGGCACTGGGGTGAGCCATGGGGTACCACACTTCACACACCGCCACACACACACACACACACACCCCCCGCAGCTTTAGAGTGAAAATAACCATAGCAACGATTCATTACAGCGTGAGGATGAGGAATCTTAGACAACTAGTCCCAACCACCACTTGTCACCAGTGTCTCACCTTCAAACAACCACTGAGGGGGCAAATCGGTGGGTGATGGGTACATACAGGAATTATTGATTCCTGTATGTACCCATATGTACTCGTTCACTTTGCACATTAAGAAATGTGCAAAGTGAACGAGTTATTGACTAGATTCATGAGCTAATTTACACTTTCAAGAAAGGGTTCGTCTTCATAATTTATACTTGTGCCAAATCTTGTCTAATGGTGGGCCGCAACATTGAAACAAGAGTACGTAACATATCTTTTATACAACATTCAATTTGTAGTTTAAAGGAGTGTTTCAAGGGGTTTGTGTGTGCGGCTCGGTTTTGCTTTGAACTGCTTTTCCAAGCATTGCGCATTGAACAGGAAACACATTGAACAGGTTTCCAGTATTACAAGTAAAACCAAATATGACAACATCCAGAGATCTAACTGGCACTAAAATTGTTACTTAGATCAGGATAACCGCCAAAATTGTTGGACTACACAATCGTATAACAAATATGAACTATATAGGAGTCCTATTCTGCAACGGGTTTACATGTGTTGCATTAAGGAACGCCAAGTGGGGTAAAATATTATGGCATTTTTGTTCTGCTCTCACAGTAGTAATTCCCTTTGTCAGTGACCTTCACTGTTTGCCAGCCTTTGAAGACCTTTGAAGTGTTTCTGTATGTAGCAATGTAAATATGCACCAAGTCGTATTCCGTTTGTTAACTCGTTCAGTTTTCTTTTGTAGCAAGAGATGCTAATCGCAATTAGCATAAATCAATGTTAAAATTAGCTTAGACCAGTCATGTTAATGGCTGCTTGAAGGCTTCTTGTCATTTCTGACACCATGGCCTTACGCCAAGTCATTTCTATATGTCTGTATATGTATGTGAATGGTTTTCAGGGTAATATTAAGTTGTGTTTCATGTTTCACAAATTGAAGAATTCACTAAAGACCCTACATTCTACGTCGGAGTCCTGGGTCTTTATTCCGTGGATCTGCTGGTAGCTATCTGCTAAGCTATTGAAGCAAGAGCAGAATGAGTCCCATCACATCTTCGACGCTCCCCTGAAGACAAACCGGTGAAAACACGATGAGCACGACAGGTGACAGAAAGAGTGTCTCCAAAGTGCAACATAGAGCCCAAAAAAGCCTCTCTGAGTCTTTGGTAGAGAGCAGAACAAAAAAAACCAGGATTAATGTATGAGATCATTCTGCGCACGCACGCACACACACACACACACACACACACACACACACACACACACACACACACACACACACACACACACACACACACACACACACACACACACACACACACACACACACACACACACACACACACACACACACACACACACACACACACACGTTTCTGAGAGGCCGTGAGCGCTTACACGCTCTACATCACAGGGTCTTGGGTGAGCTGATTGGACGTGGCTTTGCTGGACGACCTTTACATGTTGAGGATCATTGTTTGGATCCATGAAGGCGTCGGGAAAGTTTGAAGCAATTCCAATCATCTTCTGTGATAATAAGCTTCAGTGAGTGTGAGAACTATCCGAGACATCCGGTTTATATTTAGCCCGCCGCCAAGTGAACAAGACCACTGCAATAAAGAAGGAAGTGGAGATGCAGATGAAGAGCGGCTCTCTGGATAAGGGCCAATTCAAAAGAAAAGAATGAATACTCGCGTTGTAAAGCTTTTCTTTAAATAATCAAATAGAACTGGCCACTTCATTTCTAACCCCACAGAAGGCCATCGGTAGCTATTGAGGAACGCTGGGATTTATGGCAGTGTGTAATTATATTTAGTATTCGTGCACAGCATTCTTCCGGCAGAGCAGACACAAAGAGAACAAACCAGGTTTACGGAGCAGAGGCATCGACTATTCCCTAACGCACGCCGTCATTTCCATTTTTATTCTGTAATGAGAGGGGCAGAGCACAGATAAAGCGTAACCACGAAACGCAGCTATGACCCATGAGAAGTGTAGTTGCACAAATTAGACCATATCTAAGATTCCATTACTGCAGGAAAGATGGAACTCTTCATGAAACGCCAATGAGAGCACTTGAGGCGCCGGCTGTTTTTTCAACCCCCGATATTCAATCCCACCTCAATTTACCCCACGAGCACAGAGAAGGCACGGGCTTCGCCGAATACATTTGTGCGAATGGCCGCTCGTGCGAGTGGCTACACCCCCCCCCATAAAACGTTCATGTGCAACAGCTTGCACAGGACGAGGCTGCAGTTGCGAATGTGCCTCTGCTTACCGTCACCAAAGCAGTCAAACTGGATTTCTTCGCAGCGGAAGAGGGGAATGTGGGAGTTGTGCAACACGCAACGGGGAGAGTTTCTGTCACAGTAAGTTAAAAAGTTACTCAACTTCCCATTCCAGCGACAACTTTAACTGCAGCAACAAAAAGGCATCCCGGGTCCAGACAGGCATTAAAGGAGGTCAGTTAAACGTACAGGACCAGAGAAGAAAAGCAGCTGTGGTTCTGTGGATCAGGGGCAGGAAAAGGTGGGGTGGCAGATTTATGACAAGATGAGGGACGGTGACGTAACCTTTTCTAAAAGGTGTGTGAACATGCCGCGGCCTCGGGCTGCAGCCCTGGATTAGACCTTTCCTTCCACCCGTCGCCTTTCATAGTAGATGAGAGGTAGATGAGCAGACCCGAGGGACGTCTGTTGAGAACGCTGCACACCATCTACCCGTCGCTACATTTGAGATATTGAAAACACACAAAAGCAGGCCAGTTGCGTAAAATTCCTGCCCAGGCACGACGGCAGGTTATTTTCACATCTGCCGCTCCATTGGTCCTGCACTGGCTGGTGAGGCCACACGTGACTTTTTTTTACAGTCAAACCACAAGCTATAAAGACGAGGTCATCGGACAGGCAAGTTATTTATGCAACGGCCGCGGTGACGTCATCTTGTATCATCAGTGTTACGCACATACCCCCACGTGGGGGAAGTTCTGGTGACTCAACGCAGGTTGTGTCGACACTTGGGTGAATTTTGGGTGAATTTCCTCAAATTGACATAGATCTTCGTTTTGAGTTAATGTACGTTATATGTTTATGGAAAGAAAAGTGATACTTATAGCCGCAACAATCCAATGTAAATTGGTTGACGTGTTACTTATTTTTACTCCTTTAACCCTTGTACTGATCATATATTTTTGTTTGGGCCATTTGTGGCCAGCAGATGGAGCGGGTTGAAGGAGGGCGGTTCGATCCCCGGCTCCTTCCGTCCATGTGTCTTTGGGGTGAATGACCCGTTAGTTGCACGGCAGCCAACCATCAGTGTACGGATGGATGTGAATGGTAAATGACATATAGTGTAAAAATCATCAATAGCATCCATAGATCTATTGTGTGTTCCTGTGTAAATGATAGTTCTGAAGTGTTTCTGGCTTTAGATGCAGACCAGAAGGGACGGGCCTTCAGCGTCGCCAACCGGGCCGTTGTGTTTCCAGACTCTGGGACTTCTGGAGGAAGTGCTGCTCGCTCCTTTCATTTGAGGAGATTTGGCAACAGGCTTTTTTCAGTAGGAATTCTTTTTTTTTTTTTTATCCCGCCTGCTCTTTCCACTTTACCAAAATATCCAACCACACCCTACAGGTTGAAATGGCATGTATGCTGGAAGCTCCATGGGTTGGTCTGATGAACGACAACAACCTTCACTTGAAATGCAGTCGGGTACCAACAAGTCTGTTTGCCAACGTTGGTACGCTGGTGTAAGTGAAAGAAATACACCTGCATATTGAGTAAGTTTGTGCTGCATACATTTTTCCTCTATAACATTTCCTCAAAAAAAGGTTTTCTTTGTTCCAGACTTAAGCCTGCAGGTCTCAATCTGTCCCTCTCCCACAAAAACATTAAATTCACTTTCAAAATTGACTCGTTTACTAGATTACGGCTCAATAAATTGTGTCAAAACCTGTTCCTCACTCGTTCCCCCCTCGGTTTCCTTGTCGCCCGTCTCACACTCGTAGCTCTGACGGGTGGCTGAAGGTCCCTTTCGCACAAAAGAGCACTTATGCTTTTGTTTATCAGTTTCTTTGTGAACTTCAGAATACTTGTGCAGAACTAAATAAGCATCGATAAGAAAAGGAATGCCTTCCGTAAAGCCGCAAACCGCGACCTCGGACGCCCTCTTTGCCGGGCTGATAGCGCTGCTGGACTGCGTCAGTTCCGTGCGTCCACACTGAAGAAACACCGCAGGACTTTCCAAGCGCTCCAGCGGTTTACGGTTCTCCGAAACTTCGGATCCATGTCGACGCTCAATGTAAACGTGGCAAAAGATAAATGTTTTGAAATGGAAACCATGTATTGTGGATGTGACCAAACCAAACCAGCGCATGGTCCTTTCTTGCTGCTGTAACGCCCTCAGATGACTGGTGTGTGTCAAACATTGTCACAGATGAACTGGATTATTTTTCCATCAAGAGCGCCTTAAAATGACACTGAAACCTTTTTAACAAATCACTCGGCACCAATATTTTCCCCTCATGTAAGATGGCTGAATACCACGTGGTATGCTCTCATCCTAGCACGAGTACTTGGCCTTTCCTCACCCGTGATACCAATTTCTCTGTTTCCTTGGCAACCTTGCTCAATAGATAGTGAGGCAAATGCCACTCCAAACCGCAACCACCCGGTGCTGTGGGCAACCATGTATGTCAGAAAGGCAGCGGTACCGCTGCTCATTCCAACGCCGCCACTCCCGACGGTTTCAAAGCGTGCCGGCTCCCCCTCAACTGTGGGTGGAACCACAAAACAGAACATTTCATCATTCATGGAGCTACGGACTTACATTCATTGACGAAACACGCCGCTTCTGCATCGAAACACACTCAAGAGATCGGACAGGAAAGAGGAAAGAATAAGTTTAAAACAGAGGCAGGCACGAGCTCGTGCCCCTCACGACCCCCCCGTTCCTCTGCAGCCAAAAGAGGAAAGCTGAGCGACAGACTGCTGAGCCGGGATTCAGCAGCACTTCAATACTCTCTTCAGTGAGGGGGGGGGGTCGCAGGCTCTTTCAACACCACAAAGAGAAAGGGAAAGTTAAAGAGGATTATGAAAAAAGGAGGGGATGTTTAAAGAAAGGAAAAACATCTGGCAGAGCTTTCGGAGTTTGGCATTCAGGTCAAAGACGGACAGAATTCCACCAATTGGCGATCGCGTCGACCCCCCCTCCCCTCCTCCCCCTTCCTTCCTTTCCGCGCTGTTTGCAGTAGTCGCTTATCACAGAGGGGAGGACTGCTTTACTCCCTGCTCGCAATCAGTGTAGAGCATTGGGAGCGGAGTGGGCAGCCTGAAACCTGAGGAAGCTTCTGTGGACACGGCTCTGGGATTTGAAGAGGCCTGATGGTCTCAGACCGGAGATTTGATTCGCTCGTGTCAACAAAGCCCAAACAGTGCGGAATTAGGCGCCTTTTACACCTGGAGGTTTTCCAAATGTTTGTCTGCCAAATGTTTGTCTGCTTCCGATCAAAAACATCCTGACAGCTTTGTTGTGAGACTGTAACGCGCTCTCAATCTGTCACCCACAGACAGCCATCCAGCAGCAGGCCCCAAACGGAGGGCTTTCCACGTGCGTTCATCATCAGGTTAGTGGTTGCTCCCCTTCAGCGGCAGGAGAGAAAACGGGTTCCATACAAGTCGATGTCATCAATAAAACAAAAACAAAGGATATCTCAACTACAAGTCACAGCACCAAGGGAGCTTCTCCGTGTCGGCTGGAAATAGAAGTGGGGAGATGATCCACTCAGGACCCCACAGACCACCACGGCCTACGAGCAGGAGCGAGGCGCCGCTTCCATCTCTAAATGATGATGATTACAGAGGTTCACAACAGAAAAGACATTTAAACCAGCAATTACTAAATGTGAAAGTCATCAGCTGTTCTACGGAGCAGCAGTGCTTTCCCATTTAAGGTGCTTAGTCATATCAAAACAAGACAGCTCGTTTTAAGTTTACTTTCGGTTAAATTCTTGCTGCTTCGGCACAAAAAGCACTGACTGTTCTCGTGGGTCTTGTCAGCTGAGCTGGT